TTAACAATATCCATTCATTATGTTTATAATTCAGTCTCTTAAAAGTCTCTTGTAGTCAAAAAAGTTAATTTTAAAATTATATGTTTGCTTTGAAAAACCAATAAAAAATCCATATATATATATATATATATATATATATCTCAAAAGTTTTTAGCATTATAACTGGTGAAACTCAGAAGATCATTTAACAAAATTAATATTTATGTGTTTTGAAGGTATATATATTTTTTCCCCACAGCCTTTTAACTCTTTATGTACAAACCTTCATTTATTCGGTTCAAAAATGCTTTACAAATCCCAAAGGGGAATTATGCAGTTCAAAAGACTATTTTTGTTGTGAGTTTTCCTTTACTGTTGCCTGAAGCTAAAACTAAAGCCAGCATGAAGTCATGGAGCCCAGCTTATAAGGATTAATTGTGTGTGTGCTTAACTGTACTCACTGGCCAGTTTATTAGCCTCGGCTGTGTAACACAGATGCCGTTTATATCAGCTAAGCAATAAATTCTATCCTCATAGAAAGTTTTTTTTTTTTTTAAACCCTACAGTCTTCTTATATCTAATATGGAATAAAACATAATGCCCAGAAATAGTTATGCACTTTGACCAAACTTTATGATACTATAGAATATATATTTTTAACCACTGTGGCCACTGTGTTTCATATGTTTCATTGGGTTTTAGTGCAGTCTGGTGGAGGGCGCTGTTTTCACAACTCCTTGCTACTAATCGTATCAAATTGTATTGTAATTGGTGCTGTTTTAAACACATGTAGTTGCTTGATTTTGGTGCTGTGATGAAGCATTACAGGAAGTCTTTCTAGTCTATCCAATCTGCTAAGTTTCTGTTTCTGCTTTTGTGCTATGCTGACGTCTTATCAGATATGCTTGAATATTGAAGCCAATCTCTGGGATCTCTTGTCTTCCTGTACTTTCCCTCAAGAGCTGCAGTCATGTAATGTGTTGTGTACAGTGGATATAAAACAAATCAACTCACGCTATTTAAAATGTCAGGTTTAAGTGATGTGAAAATCGAGACCAGTATGAGTCATTTTAGAGTTTCCCACCTTTAATATTTTGTAACATGTACAACTAAATGGAAAAGTAAATATCTTCCTTCTAAGCAAATGTAACAAATAAAACCCTGAAATGATGTAAAAGCTTAATTGTTCACACCCTCAGACTAATACTGTGCTGAAAAAAACCTTGTTGAAAAAAAACCTGTTGAAGGAGTCAGTCAGAAAAACAATTGTCCACCCTCCTTTGATAAATGTGAAGCATTTTTTTTTTTGTGGATTGTGAGAGACTGTTGGTTTATTGTTGTGGTGATCGATGAAGTCTCTCAAAGCAGTTCCAGGTTAAGAAAAACAGCCCAAAACTTGAAACTAACAGCTGAGCTCAGTTTTATTCTTTAATCTTAATAGATATTAATGTGTTGTGTGTTGTTTCTTTAAAATGGAGTCCCACAGTATTGCAGATGCTGCCTACACTATGCTTTACTTTGAGCATGATGGTCTTTTTACAATGCTCATGGTTATTTGTGTTTTTGTTTTTTGTTTTTTATTTACCAAACCCTTTTTTTAAATATTATTTTCTAATTTAGTCTTGTTGGTCTGTTCTACCGTTTTGGCTTTTATGGAACATAAAGTTTTTTTGTTTTTTAAGTTGGGGTTAGATGGTTTTGTTAATAAGAGCATCCTTCCTCCTTGCCACCATAACCAAAGAACTGCAATGAATGCAAAAGATAACTGTTGTATCTACTAAATTAGCCATTGTTAGAAATCCCTGGTGCTCATTTTAAAGTCGCAGGGAGGCAGTTGTTCCAACAGTTGCATTTCCGGATTCTCCCAAGTGATGCACGACTTTACACAAGTGAATAAAGTGATTGTGATTGGTCGTTTATCAAGAGGGCGGGATTGTTGTGGCGGAAGGTTTGCAAGCTCTTTGGTTGTGGCCGGTGCCTTAAAAGCATCTTACTAACCAGTTAGCAAATTAGTGCTAGCAGGATCCCAATGGGAAATTACATTGGGACCAAGTAGCACTTAGCAACGACACTGTAAAGGAACGCTATGGACAGCAGAAACGTGCAAGAGGAGGAGAGTTTTGTGGCAGAGGTCATGGATGAGTCTCCTCCATCATACATTTTTTTTTAGAGGAAGAAAGAGGGGATGAAGTTGTTGTGGAATAGGACAACAGGGAGAAGCTTTGTTTGATGTAGAAGGCTTACAGCCGTACATGTTTGAGCCCTTTCCTCGCAACACTGCTAGTTGTGTTAGCTCTATGCCTGCCGAAAACACAGATGTCCATCCCCTTGAACACTGAGACCTAACTCAATGGTAAAGTAAATGACACTTATTTCTCATTTCAACCGTTGGGTATATTAGCTGCGACATATGAATCAAGGTGCTATGACCGAAAAAATTTGATTGACAGATGACCGTTGATATATGATTGGCCAAATTTAGGTGTACAAGCTTATGTATAACTAACTGGCCTGCATAAGATAATGGGGGGAAAAAACGGATTTTTAAAAAAATGTAAGTTTTCTAACTTTTAGGATAATATGGTCTAATAAAAAGTGCATTTATATACATGTTTAAGCCAGAATGATTTGAAATTTAAATATGATTTCCCTACGACTTTAAGTTCTGGCAAGCCTCTAATTCTTTGATTTCACGTAGATAAAAATAGGTAAACTTTCCGATTTATGAGGATTATTGGAATTTTGCAGCTATTTGGTTCCAATTTGTGACACCTTCGGATTCAGTCATGACACGCTCGGAATCAATCAAAATATATTGTAAGATTTGGATTGGTTTGCACAATTGAAAGTGATTCTTAACAACAAAATAATTAACTCAGAAGTCTGCTTAGGAAATTGTTGTGGCACCTGATAATGACAATTTTCAAAACTTTTGCCACATATTTCAAGATGTTCAAGAATTGTGAGAACTGTCTAAGAATAAAATGGGAATCACTTATGAGTTAAGCAAACTTTTTTAGAATTATCCAAGGATGCAAAAATGCATCAGTTGTTAACGATTTGGAAAATGTGTTTCTTTGTAGAAGCCTCCCTGAAAAGTCTACAGTACTATGTTTTTGAACGGTAACCACTTTAAGGGATTTTACTGTTGTACCATAGTTAATCCGCTTTATGATGACCATCTTCACAGTTTTTTTGTTGTTTTTTTTATCAATAATCTAAAACCATAGAAATTTTTTTTCTTCCTGACTGATACTGACGAGGAGATCCCTCTGATGCTTTGACGGTCTACAGACCATTGCCCTCTCTGTTAGAGCAGCTGGATTTGTCAGGTTATTAGAAGCAATTCAGTCTATAGCCGTTATGTACTGACTCCTATCGACATGAGTTTTGTATGGTTAACTCTAAACAAAGCCACAGTCTATTTATAAAAGGTAGTGCACGCTCAGGAAGCTACATCATTTTAGGGTTTTGTTTTAATCACCCTCCCCTACCAGTTTCTGTCTCAGAATTGAGTGGAAAAGGTTTTATGTAGCATTGAAGGTAGATCAAGTTCAACAATGACTCCTCTTTATCTCATTGCTGTAACCCACTGTAAATGTAAGGCTTTTATTTTGTTTATATCTACTTTGATCAAGGTTAAGTAGAGTGACCTCCTGTCATGCTGCCCACTTTGTGAGTGGAGGGGCTGGCTTCTCTTCCTTTCACTCTTAAACAGTTTTTTCAGGTTGCCAAATATGAAAAAGGGAGGAGTTTTGAATAACCGACATGATCAAACCCAGTCCGACACACACACGTACTCTCTTCTATCCCTTACATCTTCCACATCCCCATCTCTCTCCCTGGAGTCTGTGCATTAAAGTGCAAGAGCGCAGCATCTCGCTGTGCATGCACATGTACTCTGCTAAATGACTGGTTGCAGAAAGGAGATGGGGGGAGAAAACAGGAAGGAGATAGCATGGGAGAAAAGAAGTTGGGGTGGGCTTGTACAGCGGCGCACGCATGTGTGTCTGTGAGGGAGAGCGAGGGGAGTGAGACATAAAGGGAGAGAATGGGAGGCAGCATCACCCACCCAGACCGGGAGAATAGGAGGGGAGGGCAGACAGCGTGTTCGTCCCTCCAACAGACGGAGGTAGAAGGGAAGTGGGCATGAGAGACACGAGAGGAGCACAATGAAGGAGTGCCATTGTCCATCCTGTTAATATTACTATTTCGCCATCTGCTGAAAGACAGGAAGAGAGACGAAGAGGGGGGCAAGAAGAAGAGGAAGACGACCAAGCAGAGGAGGAGAGGATAGATGGAAAGGCAGTGACTTTGTGAATTGATCAAACGGAAGAGTGGATCAGAGGAGAAGCACGTTTTTTCATCTATGCCGGGGAGTGGAGGAAAGGAAAGCCAGACAGAGGGAGAGGACGGATGTTCGGACAGTCTGGGGATGTTGAAACATTAATGTGGCATTGACATGAATATGGAGCTAACCTTTAAATGAATGGCTCTGACTTATCAACTGCTTGCTTTATGAACCAAAAACACTAACTGCTAATGTTTTGCCATTTCTTTTCAAAAAGGCAGATTTGTTAGACTTACTTTATACAGATTGATCTTTATTACGTTCCTGTTTTTTTTTTTATGAGTATAAGGTCTACTCGGCAGGATGTTATACAATCGTCTTTGTTAACTGCTGCAGATAATATCAGGTTGTTTTTATGCAACTTTTCTTACCATTAGTTATCCTTAAAAGGATAAAAGCTGAGTGTTGTTCTTTATACTGTTATACCTGAATTTTGTTACTGTTCTTGAAATATTCTCAGTTTAAACGCTCCAGGTGGAGTCGGTGCATTCAGCCAGTGGAGATGTCAACATTGATTGGGTTTTATGGCAGACGTGATGTCAGTCAAACTTTGATCATTTCCTGAACTGTATTGATCTTTTTAAGAGTCTCGTTTTTTCCTGCCATTGGATAAAAAAAAACTAAGCTCTGATGTGGAGGTTTTGATGCAACAGCTAATTGCTTTCCAAAGCAGTTATCTCTTTGATGATTTTAAATGTTTTCTTAGAGTGGGATTTCTTAAAGAGTAATTCCTCTGCAGACATCTTTCTTATTGTCTGTTGCCATTGCAACAGCTGCAGACAGAACAAGATGTAATTTTTTTTCTTGGTCTTTTTAAAACTGGTGCTGTTTCATTTAGTATATGTGTGCATTCATGGATTACACCAAGTAGAAAAGATAGGTTTATAGTTGCTTGTTGTTTCTTTGTGACATTGGAATTTCTTATTCTCTAGTCTGTGATTCAGGGTTGTTTTAGGTCTCCTGTACTCCCCTACCCACTCTGTGAGTTCATCCACTTCATCAGTCAAGCTTGATGTGCTATTATCAGGCATGACTGGATAAATGAGATTATCATTCTGATTTCTCTTGTATATATCAGTGCGTACAGCTGCTTGGCCTTGGGGCCTCTAATCACCACTCTTTAGCAGTGCTTATCAGTGTGTTGGTGACTCAGGATTTCTGTTCATATTGAGGGTCGTCATCTTTGTTGTCACCTGACCTACACTGTGTTCAGTGCACTAAAACATAGGGCCAGAGCGCCTCTGTTTCTGAATACCTGGAGTTTCCTTTGTATTGCCTGAAAAAAAATGCATACTGGATCTCTTGCCTTTTCAAGTGCTTAACTTTTTCCTGGATTCTGATTTTTTTTTTTATGTTTGCTTCGGTATTCTTTTTCTGCCATAACTCTTTACAGCATTCAGGAGCTCATCCCGGCCTTCTCAACTGGCAGTGCATTAGTATGACTGGATCCTCCATGGTGCTTTTTGGCCAACACCAGATGGATGGCTAGCTGGAGTTGCTAGACAATCCCTCTGTGGTGCTAGACTTGTGTAGGCGACTGTTCCTCTGCCATGCATCCAGCGCCCACTACAATCTTGAGCACTGTTACTTCAGGCCTGGTTAGTAATTGAAATGTTGTTGTGAAAAAAAAAGGAATAAAATCAGGTGATGGTTGGGGATCACTGAAACTATGGTGATAAATTTTAAACTTTGTCTCATAAATCGGCTGTTTCAAAGGTCAGTGCATTACACGTATGGATAGTGCCTCACGAGTTGTGCCAGTTGGACTGTAGGTGTAGCATTTCCTCCTCCTGAGGTCTAACTGTTGCAGACTGCATTATTGTTCTGGTTTAAGGAGACTGTTAATGCAAACAGACTGTTTGTCTTTTTCGGTTGGACTATGCAGAACATGAGATGTTTAAAAAGGTGTCTGTGCACTGGAAGTTTTGCCTTAGATTAGGAATGAACATGATCCTGGCTTTTCTCTTGTTAAAAGCATCTGCATCAACACTCTTTTCTCAGGAAATCTGGGCTTGCTATTTGAATAGGATTGAGCTATAGTAAGTTGATGCAGAGTGCATTGGGTTCTTGTTAAACCCCGTTGAGCCTCCATTCAGGGAACCCTAAGTGAGGAAGGCCAAAACTGACCAGTCAGGTCTCATCATCATCATCTCAAAGAGTCTGCCGGTATCATCCAGTGACCTACATTCTACAGTGTTACATCACCGCCGTGCTACTGCAGTGTGTGTCAGTGTACCAGACACAGGCAGTATCTCAGACTCAGTATACCACTATCAAATGGTGCTTCAGAAAACAAAAATAACGAATCCTAACCTAGGAGGGCAGTTTTTTCGGGGAACACACTTGAATCCATAACCTCAGCCAGGAATTGGCTCAGCTCTGCCAATGCAGTCTTAAAAAAACAACTTCTTTGTTAGTTTTTGTAAAGCCACCATGTCTAGCCTCTAACCATCCAGGATCCTTACGTTAAAGAGGCTAAAGGGCAAGGTTTGACTTTAATATATCAAAACAAGGGACTGTTAAACTAGGCAGCCTGGAGAACGGGCGAGCAATCGAGGGAGGGGGTGAGGGGGAGCGAGAGATCATCTGGAAACGGAGAGAGGAAGTGGTGGCACGGGAGAGGGCGGAGGCGTTGGAGAGACAGAGGTTGGCAGAGTACATCGTGTGGAGAAAGAGAGAGGACTTCCAAGATAAGAAAGGAGACAGAGAGAAGGGAGGAAGGGGCTCAGAGAAAGGAAAGGAGACTTCACAGGAAGTGATTTGGAAGAGGAGAGAAGACGAAGAGGGGGAAGCTGGGAGGGATCGAGCAAGGGCCATTCAGAGAGGACATGAAAGCATTTGGAGGAAGAGGGAGAGGGAGTGAAAAGGGGAGCAGATTTGCATTTCTCTTCAAAAGTAGATATTCAGGAGACTGTACCTCTAGTTTGGTAATAGAGGAACATCAGTAAGCCTCCTCTGTCTCATCTTTCGCTGCTCGCCAGGCGTTTGCTTTTCAATCGGCCAGATGAAGTTATGCATTATGGGTGTATTGCTGCCACTTAGTTTGTGGGCCAAGGTCTCCTATAAACTTTTAGTAAGTTGGTTATAGAATTTGTACATGTTGCTGTAAAGTTAAGCAACACAGCTGACAAAGGAAGCTATTTCCCACACGTGCATGTCAAAACACCGGTTTCAGAGACAGACATTGTTGTTGATTCTTCATGGTGCTGGTCACAGCTCAGTAACAAGTGCTCACTGAGAGGAGATGAAGCTGAGACAAGATACTCATAGGTATCACTTTACACTGTGTCCGAACGCCAAGAGGAACACCCTGCGGTGAACTCGTCTTCATCTATTCAGGGGAACTGAGCAAACAAAAACTTTCTAACGAACTGAGGACAACATGAGCTGTGCTGGTGCACTAATAAACTATTTTCATCTGTATTCCAACTTCATCGCGGAGGCCTCGCTTCTCCAATGCCCCGTCTACCATCTTGCACTCATCGTGGATAAAGCCAATTTTAAAGCAGTTTGTTTTTTGCTGCTTGGTAACGAGTGGAGGACAGACAATCACACAGATGGATGCAAAGCTCTGGCAGTGAGAAAGGAGGACAGATGGTTGCATGTTCTATTAGGAGGAAATTTTAAATTGTGAAACAAATAGACTTTGAATCGCTGTAGCCAGTGTGGACTTCAAATCTCTGCGTAATTATGGAGCTTGTGCAGAAAACTAAGTACACCCACATTCGGAGTGAGTCGTTGAGCTCAACCGACGAAACAAACTCCAACCCATCATCATTCCCGCCTTCCAGCCCTGCCACCCCTCTGACTCCCTCCCCTGGTTTACCATCTTCTCTCTCTTCCTCGTCTCTCACTCCCATCTTGGCCCCCACTTCCCCCAGACCAGCTGAAAACAGCCCCACCACCCTCTGCTCTTTCTTTCCCAGTATGAGATCCCTCCGCCTGGGTGTCTCTGCTACTCTTCTCCCAGGACCAAGGACCACGAGCAGGTCTCAGCCGGCCCAGGCGCCTGTCGAGTCCTCTGGGGATGACAGGAGCAATTCCAGCTCCTCCCCTCCTCTTCATCAACATGTTGCCCTCCTAACTGTCCCCTGTCCCCCTCCCCGACCTCCTCTACAGGACATGAACCGGCTTGCAGGGCCCTCCAGACGGGCACGGGTGGAAGGAGGTCAGCTGGGAGGAGATGAATGGACACGCCATGGCTCTTTTGTCAACAAGCCCACCCGTGGCTGGCTGCATTCAGACAATGTGGTCAGCACCACTGGAGTTTCCTACACTGTACGGGTAAGCTAGCCCTCCCTCTAACTTTGAATACATAAGGAGTGTAATTATGCATTCAGCTCTGCATCAGACAAAGAATGCTAAATGTACAAGAACAGGATGAGATTTTAGAGATTTTGGGAGGAAATGTTATCTATACAAAGGTTTTACAGACCAGAACCACTAATAGAACTATTGATTTTCTTTGCACTTTGGATTCAATTCAATTCAGTTTATTTATATAGCGCCAATTCACTACACATGTAATTTCAAGGCACTTTACAGTTCACCAGAACATACAAACTCCAACCCTATCTACAATAAAATTTGAATAATTGAATTTTAGTAAGTATGAGTAATTTAATAATAACTCTGTTTAAAATGTTTAATAATTACTCTTTTACGCAGAATTCTCCAAGGTCTAGTTTCATCCTCCTTTATCCACCTATTTTGTCAGAGGCTTCAAAATTCACCTTTGTTGTTTTTTTCTTTTCGAACACATAAGCCAATAACAAGCATATGGATCCAAGTTGAGGCCTGTTACCTTTGGAAGCTATTTAGAGTGTTGGATTATATGCATGTTATCAGGTCATAATGTTCAGTACATTCTATCAGTTATCCCACTCTGGTGTAATATAGGATTTTCTTACAATATTTTGGCCTTCTGGATAAGCAAAGAAAATAAATAAATATTGAAAAATATTTCCATATCAAAATGTTATATCATATCCTGTTGTGAGTGGTATATTCCTCCTTCCCCTCACTTCTTTTTTGATTGCTTTCTTTATATCTATTTATTTTATTCCTTTATTCTTTCTTAGATACCAATTTTCTTTCTTCCTTCTTTGCTTCCTAATTATTGTCATCACTTCGTAACCTAACTTATCTCCTTCTTTCCTTTCTTCCCTTCTCCTGTGTTTGTTTCCTTCCTACTTTCCTTTATTACCCTGCATTCTTCTGTCATACTTGTGTCCCTCATTTCTTTATCTATTTTCCTGTCTTCTATTTTCCTGATATATTTTTTCATCTGTCCTTTTGTCATATATCCCATTTGCATTATTCGTTCCTAGTGCTGTGTCCCTTCCGTTCCTCCTGCCTAGTCTTTCCTTCCCTCCTTCTTTGCTATTTATTCATTTATCTTTTCTTCAATACTTCCTTCCAGTTTCAGAGATATTTAAAGGTTCATTTGTCCATTTCTTTCTTAGATTTGAAGAGCAAATTTTAAGAGGAACATTAAAAAATATTGAAACTTGGACTGTACGGTCTGGTAAAGAAGAATTTCCATCAAATAGTGCAGCAACCATGGATATAAAACAAGCAAACTCATAGTTTCATACTAAATGACTACTGAAATTAAATCTGTGCTATTTATATGTTATTAAAAATGGCCCATAAAAGTAGGTAATTTTAACCAGGAGTGTAAACTTATGAGAAGAACTTCTCTCTTTCTAGGCTTTCCTGTCTTTTTTTTCTCAGTTTGTTTTCCAAAGCCTTTTCTGTTGAACGTACAGTATGGAGGAAATGTCTTTAGCTAACTTGTTGCCTTCCTGTTTCCTGAACAGTACATGGGTTGTGTGGAGGTGCTCCAGTCAATGAGAGCTCTTGATTTCAGCACCAGAACTCAGGTCACCAGGTGAGAATTCACACAGCTGCCGTACCATTACTCTTGCTTCAACATGCTGCATGGTGAGTGGGTGGGAATATTAGACAGCGGCAGTGCTTCGGCTTAGAGAAACATGTTGGCTTTATAAGCCTTTTCTGCTGCTTTTATTTAATCCTGTTCTGCTGTGTTTTGGTTACTCATATGTACTCTCTGATTAGTTCTGTCCTTTTGCGTGTGTGTGTGTATGTGTGTGTGCACCCCTGCTGTTCCCTGAAGCCCTAAATTAGAACGTTCTGGAATACTGTTGGTTTCCTTGTGGTTTCCGGAGTGATATTTGTCTCTGTGGTATAAAGGATCACAGTTGCCAGGGAAGATAAATTCTCCCACCAGCTGCCGGATTTCTCTATAGTCGGCATAAATGTGAAACCAAGAAAGAGAGAATGACTTGCCTCACTTGTATGTTGTTGTTTTTTTCTACCATCACAGGGAGGCTATAGCTGTGGTTTGTGAGGCGGTACCTGGAGCCAAAGGAGCCCGCAGGAGAAAGGTACATACAGCTCACACTGAACCACACCCTTACACAGAGCATTATTTATTTATGCAGCTTAAGTGGACAGCAAGAGGAAGGGTTTTTCTGGATAAAATCTCAATTTAGCCTAACTGTCTGCCCTGTGGTCAGTTGTCCGTTCGGCCATGTTTCCCTTCTGTCCCTGACACATAAACAGAATAAACCGAGGTACATTATTTTGTGGACTGAATAACCAAATTCCTAACCCTGAAGTTTAACCTCAATTCAGACCACATCTTACGGTAACTAAAAGCATGTATAGTTTGCAGTATATTGTCCGTCCAAGGGCATCATAATACTTTTAGATTTTGACCTCCTAAGGTATTTATTTTTTTTGGAATGCATACAATAAAGCATCACAAAACAGGCTATAATTTTGAAACAGACTGGGACGAGTGCACTGTTTTTAACAAAAATCTAAAAATATATCATATCTACCCCCCCCCCCCCCCCCCTCCTCTCTGATATTCCATAATTTAATTTGGTGTGATCAGCCATCTTTAGAAGTCACCTCATTTGTAATTTGATCTCAGTACAAATTCAGTTGGTCTGCAAAGGCTTAGAAGGTTTGTTAGAAAACATTAGTGAACAAACAACATCATGAACTCAAGAGATAAGTTTGTGGAGAAGCTAAGTTAGGTTTTAGAACATGATCCCAGTCCTAATACAGAGATATGCCCAATCTATGGTCTAAAGAGGAAAGGGATAAGAAACATAGTGAGACAGAGCAATCCAACTGTTTTCACAGTTTAAGGAAAGGGAATTAATCATAGAGGAAATCAGAAGATCTGGGCTCCCACTGACTATGGTGAAGCTGCGATCCTGATCCAGTCCAGAGCGTACTGTAAAAAGAGTGTAGAAATGATGGTCACGAGAAAGGTTTAAGGGGAGTTTCTGCAAGTTCTAGGGCTACATAGCCTTGGTAACTGCACAGCACTGTGGCTAATATGAGTCAACACTGATTTTAATGATTTGAGTTCTTTGCTGTGCTTGATTGATTGATTGACTTTATTGATCTCACGGTGGAGAAATTAACTCTTTATATCAGCTCAAATAGTCAAAAAGAAGAAGAAAGTGACTAAGGAAGTGCCTGTTAGCCTGACGTTTACTCTGGAACAGCTGCAGAGATCCAAACCACAAATTCACGAGTCTATCAATGGAACAACTATTGGTCATGTATCTCCCCAGATTATTTTTTATTGAGAAATTACAAAAGCAAGTCAGTTATTGATAGAGGACCATGATTTGTCCTGCTTTTAATTTTCCACATTCCATATAGGGACACAGCAAACATGCAGACAAAGGAGCTAAATCTAGATTAGACCAGCGTTACTACCTGCATTCCAAATGAGGGGAGAAATGGGTTTGATGGAAAAACTGTTGGGGCAGGGACTGGGACGATGGTCTAGAATAATAGAAACATGGAATCATCTTACAAGACGATCCTGGAAGAAGATCAAGAGGCTGCTAAAGCCTTGAGACTAAGGCGGAGGTTCACTTTCCAACAAGACAATGACTCTAAACACAAGAACTGTAACTGAATTCCCTTTAAACTTAGATATATTCACCATTTCATTTTGTTCTGTCATAAAAAGCTACTGTTTGTGTTTGTAAAATAAAAAATTAGCAAATGTAAAATCAGTCAAATTTTGTATATTTTCTAATGATGTTATTAAAAGGTTCGCTTTCTTCAGTATGTTGAGCCTAAACATATAAATCTGTTTGTCCAAACTAATGATAGAAGAAGACATAAATGCACAGACCCTTAATAAAAGCTATCCATACACTTTCAAAGATGAGCCATTTATGTCTTATTGCTCTCCTGCCAAGAGGCAAATGTATGAAAAGCCAACGTGTCATACCTAAAGCACGTCAGATTAGCAGGCACAGCTGCCAGCCTGCAGTTTAAAAGATTTGTGTGTCTCTTCACAGTATTGCAAAGAAATGTAAAAACATCCATGAAACAGGTGGCTAAATCCAGCTGCCTGCTGCCGTTACAGGCTTTGACCAAGGAATGTCTGGCAGGGAAGCACCCCAGACAAAATACAGCCGTAGTACTTGTACTAGAATAGATTATATTGGTCTAGTCTCCTTTATTTCACAGGACTGAGGTTAATGTGGTTAGCATGCTTTCCTTAGCACACATTCCATGAAGTTGGGGATGATATGAATGAAAGCCATTAGCTCAAAATTATTGGTCTGACGGAGCGGTGCTGTCGAGATGTTGGTGACAGTCTTGGCCAAGGCCGGCCTATTGCTCACAGTTGGCTATGCTGAGCAGATTACTTTAACAATTGCAGCTGTTCTGTCACTCCCACATATGCATGCTTTTCCACACATACACCCAAAGACTAGTATCCTCTAATGAAACGTACTCTGGACATGTTTTATTCTTTTATAGTTTTATTGTTAGTGTTTAGTTTCAAACTCACAAATATGTTTCCTCTTTTTTCCAGCCTGCTTCTCGCTGCCTGACGTCCATACTGGGGAAGAGTAACCTTCAGTTTGCAGGCATGACAATCAGCCTGACCATCTCGACCAGCAGCCTCAATCTACTGGCCTCTGACTGCAAACAGGTTAGGCTCATTGGGCCTACTGGAGACTGCTTTTTTTTTTATTCTCGAAGAAGTGGAATGGTGGTTGGATCCCTTAAAGCACAGATGAGGTCAAGGTCAAAGCCAGTGCCCAGAGTGTCCATTTTGGCATCCTTTCTGTGCTGCTTCAGCTGATTGCACCTCCTAGTCTTACTCCACATGCCACAAAAACAGGACAATACAATTGTTATAGTTTGAATCCATGCTTAGTTCAGCCCTATAGTGGAATTCCATTTTTTTTCTTGAGTTTCCATCTTAAAAAAACCAACAAAAAAGCAAGGAATACTAATTTATCAGTATTTATGGCCTCCTTCAATTCAAAGCAATGCAGTTTGATTCAGTCTAATGATACCATCAAATTACATGATTTAAAAAAAGTATAAAAGTCAGCTTTAGGTATATGTAGTTATATAATATTGAGTAGACAGAATGTATTACAGCAAAAGCTCCATTGATGACTCAAGACCTGTACCTATCCATTATTTTAACTGTTGGTGGGAACATACCTAAAGATCTATGAATCCTGAAGATAAATAAAATGATCCATTCTCTAAGAATGTGTTATTCAAACCAATATGAAGAATATTCTTCAGTGTTTACAATTCAATTCACTGCTTTAATCGGCAGAGTTGTGACTTTCTGGATTATTAGGGCAGATAAATGAGTTACTCACTATGTGAGCGTCATTCACTGGACCCATTCCTCCTCTCTCTAGTCTTGCCACTGGGCAGGATGTGATGCTCCACTAAGACCTCTAATGAGTTCATGGATACAAAGTGGTCAATCTGTTGGGAGATGCTATTCAGTCATTTATATCAGCACATAGAATATGAAGCCTGTTGTTCTGCACGTGTATCCATTCACAGATACAGGATCAGATAGAGGCCAAGGAGCACTAACAAGTGTTAATGCTGTTATTGATCCAGCCTGGGTGGCTGTTCCAGACTGTTAAAGATGGGCTCCTTCCAGTCTTAGATTTATCTCAGAAGCAGGTGATGTTCAGTGGAGGGAAAAGCACTTTTCCCAGGAATGAATCCATCTTTGTCTCTTTCGTTCAGATGTTTTCATTTCATCCCCCCCCCCACATGTTTCATCTCACCCATGTGTTTTCCTTTTCTTTTCTTTCTCCCCCGTTGTCCTGTTTGTTTTTCTCCACAGATTATCGCCAACCATCACATGCAGTCCATCTCTTTTGCTTCTGGAGGAGATCCAGTGAGTCGCCCAGAACCTCCCTCTTTTTCTCTGCCATTTTCAGCTCCGGCTTCAAACCAGCCTTTTGCTGTCTCTCTTCAGCTCGCATGTGCTTTCTCCCTATCCTAAGTCATCGTCTGTTCCGATGAATTCCACTGACCTCTCTGTTGCCTTATAAGCTCACGGTCTCTGACCACATCTCCTCCTGTGCGCTACTCTTTTTACGTTTTTTTAAACCCATGTTACAACTTAGAGACTACAGCTTTTGCTTTGTCTGCCTGGTTGTCTTTATCTCGGCCTTAAAAATACCCTTTGCTTCTTCCTGCTATTGATTTTTCCCTATTCCCCTCCTCCTCTAACTGTATTTCCCCTGTCTGGTTCCCACAGGATACAGCTGAGTATGTAGCATATGTGGCCAAAGATCCAGTCAACCAGAGGGGTGAGTGAAAACAGCAGCTTGATGTGTCAGATACCAGAGCTTTGACTCCCTTCTGTGGAACTTTACACCAATCACATGGTTTTTGTGTTGAGTTGTGCATCATGAGGAAATGGAGCCTAATATTACGTTCTCAGATTACATAGCTATCAATTCTTTCTTATCTATGTCTAAAACTCTGCCTACCTCAGCTTAGACATTAAATACAGTTTTAAAAACAGGAATAAAGACTATAATCTTTTAAAAAGGAATGCAATGTGATGATGTAGAGGAAGATCTGCTTAAATGATGTGGAATATTTTGCCTATTTTGGAAATGTGGCTTTGTGTTTCAAACACAAACTAAATGTCTATGCATATCTGACTTTATATTGTCGGCTCTAGAAATAGAAAAATCTTCATATTGTCGTAAATTTCTCTCACTAATGCCCAACATCAGATTCAACAAATGATGATAACTTCAGTAAATGATCGTAAATGATGAACCTGATGCAGTCCACCTGTGCATAATGAGCTCACCTTCCTAAGAGGTTTAGATCTGCATGATTCTAGCCAAAATAATGCAAGGTTACATATAAGTAGGAAGGCTACGACTTCCCACACTCGTCAGAAGGTATTCATTCATAGAAATGGCATTGAAGGCGAAGGAGAAAAACGTTATGGATTTGTGAAAGAAGTTCTGAGACTGAGAGCTGAGCAGCAGAGTTAAAGGAGCAGCATTAAAAGCCAAGTAGTGGGAAATAAATCACAGGAGTGAAATGATTGCAAGTCTTACTTTCCATCCATTTTCTGTTCCAGATGTTATTGCTGTTCCTTTAAATGGTTGCGTTTCTATGCAGTCTTTCGTGGTTTTCTCTGTAACGGACTTTGTGTTAACCTCACTTTTTAGAGAAGATGCTTTAAATAAGATTTATTTTTTCCTTTCTTCCTGTTTTCTGTTCCTTTTTCTTCTTTACATTTTCCTTCATCTTTCTCTTTCATTTCCTTTTTTCCATCTTTTTCTTTTTTATTCTCTTCTTTCCTCTCCTGCTACATGTTTTTTCGTTATTATTTTAGTGTTATTACTGTTTTGTTAAGTAAAGAACTTGATCGTTTTGCAGATGTCTTCATACCTTTCTGCCCTGCCTCTGTTTGAATTGTGTTGTCTAGTTAATTCAAGGTTACTTTGCTGCAGCCTCCTTATCTTTTCTTTGTACCTCCTCGGCTGCAGCGTGTCACATCCTGGAGTGCTCTGAGGGCTTGGCACAGGAAGTCATCAGCACTATCGGCCAGGCCTTTGAGCTGCGTTTCAAACAGTACCTTAAGAACCCCCCCAAGCTGGTCACACCTCATGACAGGTACAGATAAAAAAAAAAAAAAAAAAAAAAACAACAAAAAAATCAGCCGCTTTGTTTGTGATTTCCCCTTCGCTGTGGATGATTTTCCTTGTTTCAATTTTCCAAACAACTCTGTCTGTCAGAATGGCTCCGTTTGATGGCTCTGCATGGGAGGAAGAAGATGATGATGCTGTTCCACCTCCTCCTCCTTCTTCTGAGGTTCCCTACTATAATAACTTTCCTGATAAGCAGCCTCCCCCTGGTGGCCTGATTGACATGAGGACCCGTCCAGGAGCAACACTGGTGAGAGCGAATGGATTAGAGAGGGGAATAAATCTTCCTTATAGAAATGCTTGAGTGTTTTGAAACGGTCACAGTAGTTCCAGTTCTTCAATTCACCACTGTGCTGTTTAATCAGTTTATTTGATTACATTTTCAATTTGCCATCATGGAAGCCATGGAGACTGTTTCTTCCTCCCAAAAGGATCAGATCTTCTGCATTTAGGCTACGTTCACACTGCAGGCCTTGATGCTCAATTCCGATTTTTTTTCGTGAAATCCGATTTTTTTGCGTTGCCGTTAATATATCCGCATATATGCGACTTGTACGTGATCTCCTGTGTGAACTGCAGTCATACAACGCATGCACAGTTGAGGACGTCACAGGCAAGCGTGCTCTCTGTTTACGGAAGAAAACATGGATGGTAGTGCCGGCGCGCATCTAGCAATCTTTTCAAACCATAAAAACTCAATCTTTTCAATATGGTTAAACATAAATACTGCTCTCCGCATCATCAGCTGCCATGGTTGTTTTTCTTTCCGCTTCTGCATAGCAAGACGCAGAATAGTGACCATTGTCGGGTATTAATGCCGTTCAGGGAGGAATCCAACCTGGCCGTTCAGACACAGGTCACATTTGAAAAGATCTGATTCGTATCGGATTCAGGACCACATAGCCAAGTGGCCTGGGTCGCCTTGGAAAAAATCGGATCTTTGTTGTTCAGACAGCCATTAAAAGATCAGATTCAGGTCGCATGTGGGAAAAACAATCGGATTTGGGTCACTTTAGGCTGCAATGTGAACGTAGCCTTAGTTTTGATCTCTGTAATCTTTTCAGTCCAAGGATGGCTACAGTATTTGATTTTATGACTGTGTGTTTGCAGCCCTACGGGCAGCCAGGTCACAGCGACATTCACAAACAGCCTGTGCCTCCTCTACCTGGTGAGCCACGTCTCTGCATACCTCTAACTTACTTTGGAAAGACCATTTACTTTCGCTATCTTCAATCCTAAGTCATTACCTTTCATTACTGAGGGTAGTTTTTTAACAATAGTAATAAAGAAATATGTTTTAATGTGTTGGTCTTGTTTTACTTGAAAACAGAAAATGTTTTTGCAAAACTTCTAGAAAATAAAAGCTGCACTCCTGTCTCTCTCTGTCTCAGTCGGGGCCAAAGAAGGGGTTCGAGAGCTGTTTGATGACCCATCATATGTGAATGTTGAGAAACACCGACCTCCTGTTGCTGCTAATGGAAATACTCACAGAGATGCTTTTGACATGAGTAAGTGTTTGGGTTGTTTAGGCTGTTGGAAAGTAATCGGTATCATCATGATAAGGGATGCTCAAATATATGTTTGTGTAACACTGGTACCACAGTAGAGCAGCTCACTGCGGAATGGGTAAACACCGAAATGAGTTCTTGTTAAAGGGAAGTGTGGGATGTAATCAAAACGGGAAAATAGCAGGTAATTACTGTGCCAGTCTACGGTGTGCAGAAAATACATTTGCATTAACATTAGAAATTAGCCGTTTTTTCACAGGATGCAAACTAAAATCCATGGCTTCTCTAGATGGAAGAAAATACAAGAAAATGGGAATAAAAAACAATTTTGGCCAGCTTCCCAAGGCTTTCCCAATAGAAGCCTTTAGAGTCCATGTATGTTGTCTCTAGAACTATGACAGTTTGTGAAATCTGAGTATTAGATTTTCAATGACATTTAAATATATAAATTATTTGAATATAAATTCCATTTTTGTATTTTCCTGATGTTCAAAAGGTGGATAAAAAAATATGGATCTTATTTCCAAACCTTGTTCCTGTCCAATTCTCTAATGATGGGTGGATTAATGAACGGTTCATTTATCAATCCAACCATCAATAATTAACTCATTCACCCATTATCCATCCAGCCATACATTTGTCTGTCTGTCCATCTGTCTGTACAGTCATGAGCCTGTCTGTATGTACCTCTGTCCATTAAACTATGATACATCCGTTTATCCATCCATCCATTTGTCTACTCATTAGTTTGATCCACCATCCTTCCATGCTTTTCCATCCATCTGTCTGTTTCTCTGTCTATCCATTCATTTGTCATCTATCTACCCATCCTTCAAGCTCCCCATCAGTTTGACTATCCATCTACCATTCCAGCTATTTTTCGCTGCGTTAGTCCCTCCATCCTCCCATATGTTGTTCTGTGCAACTTCAGGTCTGTCTGTCCATTCATTCATCCATTGGTTTAAAAGGGTCCGAAATCACTTAATAAAAGATTTCTTGGGTTCCTGTGTCTGTATCTCTGATCATGTCCATATTCTAAATTTATCCAAGGTGACATATGTGTTTATATTTACTATTTTCAAGAACCGCTTGATGATGCCCTGGGAGTCTCTGGACCCGGTGGGCCAATGTCAGTGGTGGTACCGCCCTCACTGGTGCAGCAGTTGCAGAACGAAACCTGGTTCCACGGGAGCCTGAGTCGCAGAGAAGCAGAGAGACTTTTGACCCGAGACGGAGACTTCCTGGTGAGGGAGTCTGGGACCACACCCGGACAGTACGTCCTTACGGGACAGCAGGGGGGTCAGCCCAAACACCTGCTTCTTGTGGACCCAGAAGGAGTGGTAAGTTGGTAGAGATGCTGAAGCATTGCATTATTGCTGGGTCTAGCAGTATAGCTGTGTTGAAAACCCTTTTTTTTCCCTCTCCATTAGGTGCGCACCAAAGACCACAGGTTTGGAAGCGTCAGCCACCTGATCAGCTATCACATGGACAACAGACTTCCCATCGTATCAGCCGGCAGCGAAGTGTTCTTGCAGCAGCCGGTGGAGCGCAGGGCATGAAGCTACACACACCAATGAAATACTCCACCAAAAATAGACGCTCACTTTCTCTGCCGATCCACACAACACACTCCCAAAATCATAATGCTTTAATACACACAACAACACTACACATAGCACTCCAACGCAGCATCATACAATAAGAGACAAGCCAAAAAAAAAAAAAAAAGAGAGTAAATCAAGTTATTACTGTAGCCACTTCTTCCGGCAAACAGAAGTCTATATAAACCATAATTCACTCGTTCATCTGATGCAGAGAGGCACTGCAGCATATTCCATCCTACTGTGAAGCAGGAAGGAGCCCTTTACTAAGAATCACAGCAGGGCAGAAAACAGATGCAATTCTTTTTTTTATATTCTATTAATAGGAAAAGAAACAGAACTGCTTATCAATGGTTGGAATTGGGATCTAAAATTGATGAACTCTGGAGGAACATGACCAGACTTTGGACTGAGATCTTTAGTGTGGTGAACTCGAGTGGGAAGCAGTCCGTCCTCTCTCAGCTTTGCTGGAGATAAAGCAAAATGCTGATGGTTTCAGAGACTTATCTCAGACTCGCCCTTCAAGTCTCACTGGAGAAAAAGTAAATCTGAGTAGATTCTAGCAGGTGAATATGCATACATGTGTCTGCATGCTATCTTATCAGGAGCGCCGCCCCACCTTCACTCCTGTTTTAGGACTATGGACCTTGGAGGAAAGCCTGTTTGCAAAAGCTATGCTAAAGACCATCATATCCTTTATTCTGTTTTGTTGTTTAAGTATTTTGTTGTGTTATCATGAGTCAAATCACTTACTGGACATTTGGAGTGCAGTAAGGTCAACATGGCTGTATCTTCAGAATCCTTTTGCACACACATGCATATGTATATACTAACATTTACACACCATACACACTCATGCCATACCAAAGATCATCAACTTGGCTGCTGTTAGCAAAAAAGGAAGCCAGGATTTTTATCAGCATTTATGTCTAGGCATGGGCCGGTATTAGATACTGATGTCATAAAAAAAAAAAACTTCAGCAAAAATAGTTAAAGGTAAGTTATTAACTCAAAACGTTATTAACTTACTTAATTAAATTATCAAATTTTCTTTATTTGAAAGAGAAACAATTATTTCTGCTGCTAAAACTACTCACAAAAATATTTCAGCCAGATTTGAAGCTCTATATAATTTTATTACATAACAAATTCCCATTTTACTTTTGTTAGATGATTTTAATGCAAGCCTTTTAAATAAACCTCACATGAAGCATGTTCATTAGTTTATTATTGCTTACTTATTTAAATTACATAATTGCCAGATTTATGTTCTCAGAATTAAGTATACTTAAGGCCTGAACACACCTGTTGCGTATAACTTTTTAATTTCGATCCATTTTTTTTCCATGTCTCTGACTGGGTTAGGCAGATCTGTGCACTTTTTTCACTTCTGTCTGTGTCACACAAATTAAAACAATTTCCCACATTTGACTTGGACAGATTATGAAAATTTATTTAAAAAAAAAAAAACATACCAGGGATTCTATAAAGCAAAGCCCCACTTAACGAGTCTTTGCAGCATCTCAAACCAGCTCAGATAGAGAATGTTAATATGCCTATATTAAAAAACCTAATGAGATCAATGTCTAAGAAGAAGAAAAATACACAGCAATAACTGCTGTGGGTCGATTTATATGCTGACTGAGGCAGAGAGGTGATTCTCAGAGAGATCGGGGAAGTTTATCTGAGTTTTTCTCTCTTTTTTTTTTTTTCATAAAGGGTTTAGAGTTAAACTGTGCTTTCCCTGCTCTGTCTGCCCCTCATTCTTTTGTTTGAGGCTCAAAGGGGATCTATTTAACTATATCCCTTTTTTTTTTTTTTACAACTTCTCTTGAAGTTGTTTTATTTCGAGGAGTGATAAACTGCAATTTCTGTCCCCCGTCGTTTTGCAAGGCTCAAAGATGATCAGCAATAAACAACAAAACAATAGCAAATTTACATTTTAATGTTTTATATAATAAAATTAGATAGTTCTTAATATGTGGGTGAAATATTTGTGAGTGTACATTTTAAAATTTTTGGATAAAAGTGATTTAAAACATTTTTACTAAGATAAGGAAAACTGTAAGCCAGGTGAACCACTGTAGGCAACAGAAAAGGCTTTTGATGCTCTGTACTTCATTCATTTAAAACAAATTTAAAGAAATTACAGGTGCAGGAACAGCATAATAGGGAAAAAGGGCAAATGAGAGGGCTTGAAAATATACTTAAATAAAATTTATTTCTCCCAGTCATGTAAACATGAATTATCTGCATCTAATTATTTTTCTTTCTTTCTTTTTTTTAAGTCAGCTGGCCAGCTAATCGCAGCAACGGTCTGAGCAGTGTTTTGTCTCTCCGTGCTCCTAAAGCCACTTCAAAGGTGGGGAGAGGGGGGAAATTAAACTAGATTACATTAAAAGCATGTCGTACTGTAAAACTGTTAAAAAAAAAAAAAAAAATTGCATTTTTCCAACCATAAACATTATAACACTGGCCCATGCCTAGTTGTGTCATACTCATTGTGAAATGGACTTGCTTTTATGTGTTGAAAATATAGAGGCCAATGTGCCTGAATTTGGCATCAAAGAGGAGATTTATAAAGTACATTGATGTCAGCCACAAAATTAAAGGTGCTTTTGAGAAGCATAGATGCTACTTTACAGGAACATATTAGTATGTGTTTGCATTGACAATCTATGGGTTATATCTTCAGAGTAAAAGCAAAGAGGATACATAGTCAATAGTTTTCAAGCAAAAAAATTCTGCTTGCATAAACAAAGCCAACTATTCTGCTTTTGGTGTGATATGAGGGAATTTGAAACAATGTGGCTCCTCAGACTACAGATCATTCACTTTAAGCATTGCCATCGATCCTCAGTATGCTATTTTCAAATTTCGGAGGATATGATAAAGGGGTAGTTGAGGCCAACGTTTCTGTCTCCCCTCTGTTCATGACGTGTTTTCTATCTTTTCGATTGTGCCTTGTTTCCTCAATGCAGTCATGTTGTCTCAATGTAGTCACCTTATGTACTTAATTCAGATGTAGTCATCTGCAGGAGAATCTCTTGGTTTAGCAAAAGCGACGACACACGGCTCCAGTGATGGCAATCTCCTCTGATGCACATTCCTGCATTCAGCTTCTAGTCACAGATACTTGATGTCACCATTGAGGGGGGGGTGGGGGTATATTTCTGGATCACCTGTAAATAACATTAATTTTAAAGTGATCAGCTTGATTATTGTTTCTATTGTGCATTTAATGAATTTTTTGATGAGTAACAGACTGTACAGCATTAAGGTTGTTAATTTTAGAGTGCCAGAGGTTGAAACCAAAAAAATAAATAAATGTTGAAATGTGATAAGGGACCTCTCTGTCACATGTGATCAAACATGCGCACATACCAGAGCGGCAACTATTCAGATGGGTCAGAAATAGGAAAACCAGAGAGGAGCTGTGTGTCATTACTCTATGTGTGCATGTTGTGCTGGAATAGACTCAGCTGACCCTGTGTGTCATTAGTGCACTGGTCCTGTGTTATTGTTCATCACAGTTGCCTTTGTTGCATGAAAATCCCCCTTTTAAAAGATGACATGTTTGTTATTGGCAGTGGTTGTATTAATGATGCTCTTTATGATTTTTAAACCAAAGGTTCATTTTGCAGTTTGCAAAGATAGTCATTTGTACTTTATATTTTCTTTTCCTTTTGTTTTTCTTATTAGGGAAACATGTCTGTTTACACCTGTAACTGAAAATATAGATTGCATATATAAATATATATATATTATCATTCTTCTCTGATCATTTATTGCCCTCAACTCCTGCAACACAAAACAAAGAGTATTGTGAGTGGGTGAGGTTTAGCTTTATTGTTTCTACCTAACAAATTCTCATCTATCTTAGTCTAAGGAATCTATCTCTCACTAAAAAGAAAAAAAACTGTTACTTGTGTCTTTCAGCATTACAAATTACTTGAAAGATAATTACCCGTCATATAAAGGTCACCAACAAGACTTATTAATCAGTGGGATCAAAAATGGATTTTTAAAATAAGTACTTTGATCCCTAATTATTAATTATCCAAAGAGACTAAATAATTATATATTACTATTACTCTCTCACTGCTAGTAAGAGAGGAAATGTTTTAGGGCTAAAATATTTAAGGGGATTAATTAGGATTAATCAATTATTTAGGTAATCAACTATTTTAGTAATTGATTAAAAGTTAGCTGGAGTGTACAGACTCTAAAGCTGAAAAGCAATCCACTAAGAGCGGTTATTATGTCAAAATAAAATAAATGTAAACATTTTGCATTCAGGGTGAAAAACCTTTATCCTTCAATAACCGTCCAAAAACCGTTAAATGTTTTAATTTTAGCCTCACCTAGTTCAAATTCTGTATAAAAACTTCTTAAGGTTCATTTTGCTATCTAATCATTAATCTATTTATAGAAAAAATATCAAAATATGAATCTATTACCAAAATAATCATAAGTTAGTTGCAGCCCTAGAGGTTCAATAACAAGGAAATTTGTCATTTGAAATATGAGGTTCAACCACCTGGCATTAAAATATAAAAAGTGCTGTGGTTTGGCCATATTGGGCTCTTTAGGAACTAGCTTGGATTTCTACTCAGGTGGTTCACCCACTTACATCTCTCCAGGCTGGAGTGTCCGTTTGTTTTCTTGCTCCAATGGGAACAGCTCACACAGAGGCTGCTTTCATATTAAACCTTGCCAGAGTCCAGTTTCTGGAGCAGATCATCCCAGCTTTAACCCCTGGCACAGTTACTGCTGGACTTGGTATAATTTTTCTGAATCCCTGGAGCAGTTTGCTTGCTTTTTCAATCGTACCAAAAGCAAGAGACGGTGAGGTCACGTAAGAAAGCAAACCGGTGCTAAGAAGAGGTGTACGTTTCCCTTCTAATCATTCCATAGAATAATCCATAAACCGGGCCAGCGGTGTGAATGTGGCCTGGAAAAGTGGGCTTTTGGACGTCTGGACTTTTTCTTTAACCAGACCACATGTTAATGGAGGTTGGTGACAAAAGAAGGAGAAAAAAAGTCTAGAATAAATGTAAAATCTATCTGAAAAGAGATGCAACATCAGACAAATATAGCATTTAGACATCGACAAGAAAATAAAAAAAGCAATCCATATCTCGCCAACTCCACAAAGAAACATTCTTGGTCGGACCAAAGATTCGTATGGGCTCCAGTTCTACTGGTGCATTTGATTGACATCAGAACCAGGAGGTTTAGGTGATGTAATTTAGGAAATAGAATTTTGGATTTGTGAATGCTTTTATTCTCCATTGTTTCTATATGGCCTTCATTGCAACAATGACTAAATAATTCTTATAAGAGCGCTGAGATGGTATATCATCTTAAGAAAAGTAAGAAAAAAAAAGTAAAAATCTGACTTAATGTCACATAAATAACAGAACAGAACCAGTAAGAACATTTTACTACCTGGATACAAGTAGCAGCCATTATGAATCCAGAAGTCAGAGAAAGGTTGTGTTGTTTTATGGGGAGTTACAATTGAAATATCCCTGCAAAAATTTATATCAAGGTAAGTCCATTTTTTTTCTTGAAATAATTGTATTTTTCCTTGATTTGAGCAGAGAAGTAAGAAAATTTGCCAATGGAATGAGATTATTTGGATTCTAAATAAGAAAAAACTATATTGTCTCCAGTGCAAAATATCTAATTATTGTACTTCAAGGGCAAAAATACCAATTCAATTGGTAGGTTGTGTTATATAATTGCTAAACATTAAGGGGGAAAACACATTTTAACTGGCTTTTATGGATCAAGCAGCATATCCATCTAGGAGAGGAGTTATGAGGAGGACTAACCACCAAAGTGGAGGTGTGCTCAGACAGAGTACATTTGCATTTCAAATCTGTCAGTATTTAACCTTATGTCTAATGATGAAACATTCCAAAGCTTCCAAAATCACCAAACAGGCTAAATGAAACTTTGGAAATTAAACTTAAAGTCTTAGAGAAAAACCTTTCAGGACAAGGTCATCTGCAATTCAACAAACTGCTAGAAAGGTGAGAAAATGTCATACATGGTCCTAAACAAGAGGGTATGTGTGTGTGTGTGTGTGTGTGGCAGGAGGGGGGTACTGGAACTCTCTTATTTGTTAACGAATGAAGCTGTGACAGTGGGATGTCCCACACAGTTTTTGTGTAGGGATTGAACAAAGACGAGTGTTGAGCTGCAAAGGTAACAAAGCCTCTAAAAAATCAGCAGATGATTGAAAGCAGAAGCATGGAAGAGAAAATCCTGGATGTGAACAGAGACAGCTGCAGTTTGGACACAAAGTTATATTTAGAGGTTACTACTGGGCCAGCCTGGCCATAGAGGCTTCATTGTACACATTCTTACTGACGGTGGTTGCATTTACGATACTGCTTCCCTAGCCATGCATCCCCAGCGTCCTCTTCCCCAGGCCATGCCCTCGTCCTCGCTGGGGCAGCAACTGAGGGACATTACTATGGGTCTGGGACGAGGCAAGAACTTTCTGGGAGGAAACTTTGGTTATGGTTTCATCCAGTCTGTTAAGGAATGCCTTTATTTTCTCCTCTGCTGCTGGTGTATCAAGGAGATACTGGACTAATAGCTATAGATATGTATTTTGCATATTTATCAGTTGGTCTGTGCAATGCTGTTTCAGTTTGCATTTGTTAGAAGCGTATGAGGAACATTCTTTGATAGCTGAGGTATGTGATTGTTTTGCAATTATGATTTCACAAACTAAACTATTAAGATTTTTTATAGCAATACTAAGACCCTTTGTTTTCCTCTTTTTTTGTCCAAAGTAGGTTAAGATTACGGTGTGAGAAGCAAAGCCCAGGATGCTGTTAGACTGGGTTCGAGAATTCGGAGAACAAGTGTGAAGATCTGGGATTCTTCGATCATGCAGACATGATTTTCCTTGAAGTGACAATAAATAAACTAAATATATCTACCTTCATATCTTGTTTCTTTTTTTGATAGTTATTATATGTTGTACAGACTTCTAGTTCTTTATCTGAAACACCCAAGTTCGAGTTGGAGTGTTAAAAATATTGTTTTGACATGAGGTAACATACACTCAATATAAGATGCTGTAAAGTTATTAATGAAAACTATAAAGTGTGAATTATTAGAAGAAAAATTAAGATTTATCTGTAGATTTCAGTAAGATTAACTTAAAATTACAGCAAAGAAGTGGATCCTTCACCTGAAGTGAGAATATTGTAAGCAAGGCAAGTTTATATTAGTAGCAAGACAATTCCTTAGTATGAATAATTCAAGAGAATAAAAGTCTATAAATAACACTATAAAAATTCAAGTTGTGATTAGGAAGTAAATACTACATAAATTCACCTAATTTCTTAAATAAGCAAAATAATTTTGGATTTAGGGTTTGATAGTATCTCCTTGGCTCTACCTCTCTAAAATGGTTAAGTTATCCTGAGCTATTTTTTATATTTATGATGCTATACGTTTAGGCTGCTGGAGGACATAGAGACCATTTTTCCTTATTCAGCTTCCTTTCCCTTATTCAGCTTCATTCTTCCCCTATTCTTCCATTATTCAGTCTTAGCATGTTACCTTTTTTTTAAATATGGAAAAACAATGTTTGATTCTTTTTACTCCTTTTGGAGTATTAGTTAAATACTTGTCAAACTCTGTAAAGAAAACCTGTTGCTCAAAAAAATAAATAAAAACGCCTAGAATATCATATTATTACCTAACCAACAACTGACTGTGGTAATTATCTGTTGTTTTACGTTTTTGTCTTAAATATTTTAAAAAGCATGGCTTCTCCCTCCACATCGGCATTATTTGCTCCTTTATTTTCGTCTGTGCATTTCATACATGTCTAAGGTGTGATAGTGACCTAATAAAAGTGACAGTTCACAATGTTAAAATAAACCTATCAATCAAACCATAAACGTGTTTTTTTTCCGAGGAAAACTTAATCTTAACGCTCATTGGTTAAACCTAAGGAAAAGGGGCGGGATCATGGTGATCTCGGAATCTGATTGGTCAACTGGCGTGTGGTTTGTTAAGTTTAGACAGCACATTGAAGTTCTCAAGTTGGATGGAAAGCAAGTGAGCAGTTTGCTGTATTTTACCTACTTTCGCAGTCTGGAGTAAAGTTACCCATCACGGTAGGAAACAGCTGAATTTTAATGCCTCTCGTTCGGTTTTTGTTTCTTTGAACCTGCTGTACTGTCGATTACTCCTCTTCACGCGACACCGCCTACGTCCTTTCATGTTTTCCTGGTCGCTCTCTGCAAAAATAAAATCTGTTTAAACTTATCTGCCAACTTCTTAAATTAGGACTATGGTCATTAATGTTGGTTCTGATCTAATGCGTTGAGATTATGCACGCTTTTAAAACATTAGTAAATACCCTCATTTATCAACCTTTTTTATTTGACATTTCCTGTTTCATCCTGTTTATAAATATGTGCGTATTCTGAATTGATATGACAAGTTGCTTTGCAATTTTCTTCTCCATGACCCTTAAATATACATCCTGTCTTTGCTGTTTAATCTTTTGACCTTTTTTGGACATTTCCTCTCTCCCTGGAGAAAAGCTCAGCTGCTGGAACAGCTGCTGATCTTGTTCCCATCTTAGTCAAAGGGGATCAGGGCTGCATGTTGCTATTAGTTGATTCATGGAGCTACAAAGAGTTAAGAGTGTGGGTCATCTGCATAAAATGAGCAAAGGAAATGTTACTGTTTGATTTTAACCTCCTAAATCTGTGGAACAAAGATGCATTTTCTGTGCAAGCATCAAGCATCAGTGCTGTCCTTACAGCTCTCTGTGCTGCATCCCCTGTGGCCATCTCCTTTCTGTATGCACCCTCTTCCTCTCTGTCTCTAGTCAATCTCACAGCAGCTAAATTTAGCTGCCATCTATTGAAACCATTCCACTATATGCTCCACAATTTCTCCTTGTGGGGCCCGAGGCATGATCTGCAGACTTCTCTCGGGAGGAACTGGATTAGGAGACCTAAATTGCAGCACCGGGAGAAAATTGAATTTGGGGAGTGAAGTGTGTCATTAACCCTACCGTGTGAGATGTTTCAACATTCCTGGATCGTAGGCTGTTGACGTGTAAAAGTAATGATCGTATTGAAAAGTAGTTGTTTAACTTTTGGAGAACTTGGTCTAAAAGTTTAATTTTTCTCACTGTGTCCTCAGAAAGGCGATGGACAGTTAAAATGTGCCACTTGGTACACGTCTTTTGAACAGACCGATAATTTTGAAATGAAAGCCTTCTTTAGCCTCCATCTCCAAAGTGGTGCAGGCCTTAGTTACCCGAGTCTTTGCCAAATCATTTGTCTGCTAGTCAAAAGCCAGGGTGCCCACAAGGCCTCCTGTGCTCACAAACTGCTGAAATAAAGCACTGAATTCTCTTAAAGTAAAAAGACTTCCTGCACACACACACATGGCCTGCCTTAATAAATGTTTGTAACACTTTACAGTAGATCCTATGTTAGTAGAACGGGTGAGGCTGAATAGCAGTGGCTGGAATCCAAATCCTTTGCATGTGTAAACGCATGTAAATGTCTTAAAGCTGCAGGACACGTTGGTACTGACCTACTTGTTGATTATTTTCACTTAATAGCCATTCAGTAAATGTTTATGAATACATTTCCCATGCACTGTTTTAATGTCTGAAAAAAAAGCCTAATGAGATTCTCTATTAGACTTTGAAAACTGAACAAAACATGTCAACCAGCCTCTCTTTAAACAGGCTTTCTTTTTTTTTTTTGAGCGAAAAACCTCATCTGTCCATGCAGATTCATTTGTTGTTGATCCAGTTTCTTTAACAGATGCATCTCAATGAATTTGATCAGCGTTTAAAAGTAAAATGCAACTAACTGTGATTCTGATGAGGTGTAATGGAAGCCCAGATTGATTTGATAGCAGCCTTTAGCTCATCCAGCTTATTAGATCTGATGTTTGGTTTTACTTAAAGGTAATGTGGAGTACTTTTGCGCACTTTTTAAGAGACCCGCCCTCTCCACTTAAAAAAAATAAATAAAAAAATGCATGTACAAGAGCAGGCATGGCCCCATTTCTCCTCGTGCACGCTCTGTTTAAAAGTTGCTGTTCTTTTAGCTTATACGAGCTAACCCCTAAATCCCTCGATTACAGGGGCTTTTTGCTCCCCATTGGTCATGAAACTCTCCCTCCACCGTGTGGTTTCTGCGCCATATTTGTTATTAGTCACTGTGACAGTAAATCCCATAATGCTTTGCAAGGAGAGCTCTCCATGCAAATCATTCTAGGATATATCTGCCTCTTCTGAGGCCTTTCTTTTCTTCTCATAGACTTCTTTGACACTTTTTCTCTTACGACCCTCGGCCATTTTCAAAGAACTATGGTGAGAAAGGTGAGCTTCAATGACTGACTGAAATCGTATCTTACCGCACGTACACGTCTCAAAGTGCGCATGAGCAGAAAAAGATAGTTGACGGGATGAGCACGTAGGACGGCCTTACATAAACATATCACCTGAATGATTGACAATTAGAAGAACCACTTATTTAGATGATCCACCCGGAAATAAAAGATTGTCCTTTATAGCTTTAAGGCCTGTTTCCTGGAGAGTGAAAAGAGTCATAAAAGCAGCTACTGATACCTCTGCTTATGTGGGCAGGTTCCAAATCCTTCTGGGAAATTAAAATCAGCACCTCCATAAAGCCTGCCAGTCGATGGAAACCTTTTGAGCTAGCTCTGTGGATCTCGTCTCCCCATTTGTGTTTCCACTAAATTGACTGGGCCACAAAATACCAGTCCACCCAGGAAAAATGCCTTCTAAATTCTGGTTCAGGATCAGTTTCACTAAAGGAATACTGTGGACATGTCCACAGTGTGAGACGGTTTAATTTCAGCTGCAGACAGTCCAAACTTTATGGATCTTACCAAACCTCTTCAATGACCTATTTCGACTTATCCTCTCAAGGCAGACATTATCCATGGTGTTTTTACCACTTTACTCATATTTTCCTTCTTCCACTCAACCTTCTGTTTGTTAACTTGAATGCATGCTTTTCCTCAATGTCACTTATGTGGCTTACCCTCTTTGCATAACCAATATTATTCTGTATTTTTTTCCTAATATGAATCCATATATCTGGTCCTCAGGACCAGGCCATATGAATGTAGTCTTTTTTTCATTTATCGGTAGCATCGTCTTTTTTGGGGGGGGGGGGAGTGGTCAGAGAAGTGCGCTTGTGCGCTGAGAATTTTGCAAGCAGGCGGTTCGATCCCCACAGCCTGCACTCTGGGTCCCTGAGCAAGATCCTTAACCCCACACTGCTCCCAGGGCGCCGCACAGTGGCAGCCCACTGCTCCCCAAAGGGATGGGTTAAATGCAGAGAGTGAATTTCTTTTTTGTACTTGACAATATAATGACAATAAAGTTGAATTTTATTCTCTATTCTATTCTTTTCTTTGAAGCTTAAATGTTTTTTTGTCTTTATGAATTTAACGAAATAAATGCAGATAAATTAGTATTACTAAATTACTAATACTTTTTATTGACATGATGTGAACCTGCAAATTAATTGCATTTTTAAACCAAAGTCTAATGCTGTTAAAGCATATCTACCTTTAAAGGCAACTTGGAGGTGGAAATTAAGTAATTGTTGTCTGTAGAAAACCCATTGATTACACTGTTGTCTTTTATCTACTAACAAAGCTGCTAATTGGAAGTTGCATGTAGATAATTCCTATTAGACCATGTGTGTTTAGAGACCAAATCAGATGTTCTAGTGGCTAACTGCAATAAGATGACTGAACAGATAAACCAGCCTCATAGAGCATCTATTGCACCCCAAAATAATCCCTACCTCATCAACCTGTTCTTTTGCAATGAGAACTGAATCTTTGTTCCTGTTCAAACTGGAAAAGGTAAAAACCAGAAGCTGACATCATTTTCACAGCAGGTTTAATGGTCTACTACAAAAACACGCACGCTGAGATGTGCGGTTTAGCCATGCAACAAGAAGTGAGCTCTTAGTTTAATGAAAGCGATTAATGTTTACATTACCTCTACATTATCTGCCCCAAAGCTCCCTCTCTAGAGACAAACTCTCTGCCTTCAAGCTTTCTCATTATCAAAACTTCTTTTGCTTTTGCTATAACAGCAAAATCTTTACAAGGACAGACATCTGTGTCCAGTCTGGCCAAACATTCAGTTCTAGGTTATTAATCATCACTCCTGTTAAAGTTGAATAGAAAGGGTTGTTATTAATGTCACAGCTGCCACATAACTCCTCAGACGAGGAATGCCACCTGAAGGTTACTGTTTCTATGAGAGAAGGAGTGCCAATAAAACTTTACGTGCTACTCTTTGTTTCAGGGTTTCTCTGCAGGCTTCAAAATGTTATTTTCAGAATAAGGATGAAAGAAGAAAATGCAGAAAATAAGTAATATGTATATTAACATTAGCTGCCTTTTGCATCAAGAATCCATCCTGTTTTCTGTCAGCCTATTGCTTTTTTTTGGTCATCTTTGCATTAGTGGTGTAACGATACATCAATGTGTCGATGAAATCATTACGATCTTAAAAAATAATTGATTTAAGATTTGCCTTCATACATAAAAACGCTTTTACTATGTTTGTTTTGAGTGCTTGTTTTGTGTCACAGGAGACGGGCAGAGCCTCTGGGGCGGCCATGTCTGGGGGTGGTGCCGCCAACAACAGCTGGACCATCCTCACATCAGAGGTTTGATCACTTTGTTTAAATATTAAATAGGTTTTTCAGCATAGAAAGTTTTGTCTCTGTCCATACTTGTTTTGACTCTTCCTTACTATCATGATGTCTCCATCTTCTTTCGGACTCTGATGATTGTAGGAGACGGCTGCTGAAACCCTGAGGCCCCTCGCAGAGGGAATGAAGACGCATGATGAAAGCCTTACATCTGCTGCAGGTCTTATACAGTACATATATGAGACTTTTTGATTTTAAGCTGCACTGTAACAAACCAAAATATATATTATGATAAACATAATGAATTAAAGCTGATTGCTGAGCTGCATCTATGTGAGCAACCTTCACATTTTCCACAGTCGGTCTGCTTGAGTTCACATCTGCTTTTAGAAAATCTGATAAACCGGAAATAAAAATGAGCTCTAATTTGGCAGAAAATTGTCTAGTTGTTAATATCTGGAATGTATTGATGTACTGTAGGTTCCCACTGTTCATTTCCAAAACTGAAAAAGTCTGTCTATTTAGGGCTGAAACAATTAATTGGATTAATTGTGATCAATCCTATTATAAAAATAGTCTACTACTAATTTAATAATTGATAAATTTTTAACTGAAGTATAGAGACTCTAAAACATGCCTTTAGCTGACAGATCGAAGCAGTTAGAGGAGTTACTATGCTAAAATTGTTAAAAATAATAATATTTTGCCTTGAAGATAAGTAAATTTTCTCATGTCAATAATCTCTATCCAGAACTCCAAAAGTCAAAAGTTTTGGTTTCAGCTGGTTTCATTCTGTAAAAAAATCTTTAAGGAGCCCTTTGCTATCTGTTTTTTTTAATCAATTAATCAAGAAAAATAATCCACAGATTAATGAATTGGCAAAATCGTTAGTTGCAGCCGTTGTCTAATTTTACATGTTAATGAACTATTATGGCTTTCTATTCCTGAAGAATAGATTCCAGTTTGTTTATGAAATAGAACTTAAAACTTTTAACTATTCTATAAACCTTTCCAGCAAGGTTTAAGGGTGTGTCATGGTTGGATATGATTTTCAGCATCGTCTTGGTTTCATCCCAAAGGTTTTCTGTGGTTGAAATCAGGACTCTGCAGTCCAGTCCACTTCCTCCAAACCAAACTTTATTTACCTGAAGACTCTAATCTGGTAGTCTGACCTGTTGACGTAACATTAAGATGCGTCTACCATCTGACATCGGTCTAAGGAAAGCTTGCAGCAATCCTCACTTTCAGATTGCTTTTGACTGCAGCATCTCAAGGAGGTCAGAGTTTTTAATCTGTCAGAGACTTTACTTCTACACTGCAAAAGAAAGAACAGTTTGCAGCTCTGAAAATGTTAAGGCAACAAACATCAGCATTTTAAGTTTAGGACTTTAACCTAACCTTTGTAGTTTTGCTTTTAAGCTTATTAAACTTTAAATTATTTTATTGTAAGTTTATTGTTAAGAACTCTCCTCTGCAGCACCCTGGCATAGGCCTGCTCAGGGAGGCTGAGGACTGTGATTCCTCTATATTTGGAACACACCCTCTGGTCCCCTTTCATATGCAAGGAACCACTACCCCAGTCTGCCAATCCAGGGGCACTGTCCCCGACCTCCACACGATGTTAAAGAGGCGTGTCAGCCAAGATAGATAACATCCAGAGCTCTTAGGTACAGGTCAGTTTTTTTACCACCTCGGTGACCAACAGCCCGTCTCTTCTTCCGCCACGGATGGCGTGTCAGCCGGATTGAGGAGATCCTAAAGGTATTCCTTCCACAGTCCAAAGATGTCCTCTCTCAGGGTTGGCAGCACGCCACTCCCATTGAAAACACTTTTAGACGTCATACACACTCCGCTTTGTTTAAAAAAAAATATAAATATGAAAAAATATAAGCGCGGATGTCTGGTGGACAGTGATTCACCTACATGTTATGAATGCTGGCGTACCATAAATGATCAATTATGAACAGTTTAGTTTGTGCCTTCGACTCGTTGGCTCATAGGAAGACGTTACTTATATATAACCTAATGGAATATCTTTAGAACAGCTCCAAATGACACAAAACTCATATGGGTGAGTAGAACATGATGAAATAACATAAAATCAAGGGTCCAATGTAAAAAAAAAAAAAAAAAAATGGCGTTCCCCATTAAGATCTCTATCAGCAAAATCATGTTCCCTACAATAAAACAATAGTTGAGGTTATAATTTGTTTTGATAACTGTTCAACTAAAGGCTGTGTTTTTTTTTTCTCAGACATATCTTTGCATAAGTAAACTTCCCTCTCATTAACCCTTATTTCACGGGAGCATCAATTTCCTCTTTGCCGGATCAGAAATACGTAAAAAAGCCATAATGATCCATCACAGATGCACAAGGTCTTAAAAATTTTACAACAGTCTGACTGGTTCCCTTTCAAGAAGTGCTAATATAATAATGCTGAACTGCTGCTTTAAATGCTTCTTCTTTTGTGTGTTCTGGATAAACCAGGAGCCGGAGAGAAAAATCAGCCTGCAAAGAGCAGCGATTCTGCAGAAAGGCTCCAAAAGGTGGGTTACAAAGTAAGAAAGCAAAAACAATACTGTTTGGGATTTCCTTTAGCTTTATTTCCATGCAGGTATAGCTAGAAAATTTTCTGCTGTTTACTGTTTGGTAATATACCTCTGTAAAGATTGCTTTGTTTTTCTATATCTCCTCAACCTCTAACTAAATAAAACATATTCTCTCTTTCCCTACCAGGCATCTGAAGAAAAAACAGCAGATCAAAGTGCAGAGTCACACTCTGATCAGAACTCCGCTGCTCCTCCACCTGCGGATGTCTCTGGCACCTTGGATCATGATGTAGAGAGCAGAGCTGAAGATTTTTCATCATCTGACTCTTACACCATCCTCACGCCTTCCCCTGATAGGCCCCAAGCCTCACTGCTCAGCACAGAGACTCTTGGAGGTGCAGAGTTTTCTCAGGCAGAAGAAGAGCTTCCGAAAGAGGAAGTACCTCATCTGCAAAATGAGGATCAGCCACAGCAGGAAAGAGAGGAGTCAGGAGGGCATCCACACACTGCGGACATGGGGAAAGATGGAGGTATGAACAAGTGCAACTTCTTGGTCAGATGGTGTGTTTATTGATGCATACAGCATCCGGCCACATTCGTCACATACCTCATAAATATGTATAAAAAAAAGCCTGAAATAAATTAACCTTTTATTGCATTATCTGAAAACAATTTGAATTTCTATGGGGGGAAATATTCCAGCCTTTGATTTGAGATTTTGTTTTCTATTTTATTCCACTAAGCAAAGAGTTAACTGTTAAGAAAACATTGTTTTTAATTGCATCTAAATTCTTTATATTTAGGTAAAAATGTTTGGATCCCTCAGGGGATTACAGATTCTCCACTACACTGGAATGGAATTGTTCTTAAGCATTTTGATCAATAAAGGATTTTTTTCCCAGGATATCTCCTGAACAACTGTTTGGGTGTAGATGGCATCTGTTGGTCACTTCATGACCAAAGGCTTCCACTCCTTGCTTCAGTGTTCACCTTTGTTACGATCCCGCCTTTGTGTCGAAAACAGTCTGTTTTTGGACATAGAGACATGCTTACCATGTTTAATAATCCATATCTGTAGACGTGCAACAGTCAGGATATTTGGAGCTGATCACAAAAATCAGTATTTGCCAATGCTGATCACGGCATCAAATCCGTAAATTATTTAACTTTTCTCTCATAAACATTGACATTGTATTATTAAGGATAAAAAAAAAAACATAAGAAGGGTGATGAACTGACAACTGTTTGTGTAGGAGGAAGTGGAAATTAGCTTTTTTTTTTTAAATCAAAATGGAATAAAAGAAAAAAAAATATAATAAAGGATGCGGCACGAATGGTCTTAAGAGGTTTATAGGTGGCTTTTAAAAGCTGCTTTAATTTCACACTAGAAGGACCGTTTCATCATCATATCTGCAGCGACACCAACCAGCAGTCGCCTTATCTCCCCGCTCCGCTGCTGTATCTGCCTTGCAGGTTCCTCTGATCCACCACTGTCATTCTTCCACATCCAGCAGTTAGCATCTAGAGCCAGAATGCCTAACTGTTTCCAGAAAGGGCCGTGTGGCTGCAGGTTTACTTCCTAATCCAGCAGTAGCACACCAGACTGCAGTCGTCTCATCAAATAAATCCAGTCTTAACATGATGACTTGATGAGATGAATGGAGTCTGATCTGCTGTTGCTTGGCTGAAAAGAAAAACCTGCAGCCACATGGCCCTGTGTTGAACCAGTTTGACACCCCTGCTCTAGAGGTTAGTATTGTCTTGCCTAGTCTCTCCCTGCATATTCTCCCTAGCATGCTTCTCAAAAGTACAGCTGTCTTATTCCCCGTCAGCAGAAGCCTCTTTGACGTTTTTTCCCGGCAGACACATTTAACGTTCTCTGCAGTGCTCCATCAGTCGTAGCATAGGAGAAAGATGTGTCCGCTCAGAAGAAAGCCTTCAACAATGCAATAACCGGCACTTAAAATCGCTGTCTTCATAATGACCGGCTGGCCACTGATTGTGGCCGTTCACGTGAAAATCGTCCAATGTCCAAGCACTGAAGGATGACTGGTGCAAGTCTACATATTGGAGTTGACTTCAAAAATATTGACACATAAATGTCAGAAACTCCGCCATTGTTGAGTATAAAATGGCTCTGTCTTAAAAGCCTCCATTGTAAGTTGTAATAGTGACCTTTAAAATCTTGCTATCAGTTTTCTTTAGGTTTGGGTTTTAGTAGTTTGGCATCAACAACACATATCCTGTCCGTCGGGCACCACCTCGGTTAGACGCCTGCTTTAAATATCAGATGTGGGCAGACCTGAGGCTCTGGAAAAGTGTCCTTTAAGGTCTGACCATCTGGTTCAGGCTGCTGATGGTGTAAAGCTCAGAAGGATGTTTTATTTGATAGCTTTGTGTTCTTTATTGCCAAATTAGCTTAATTTAAACACAACAGTCTCCATTCCTGAACACAGTGCATCCATCCGAACCGCTCAGTGTCCTAAAGGGATAATCCAAACCTTTTTTTTCTGCATGGCAATAATGTGCTTTAGTGGCATCTGCTGTCACCAGATTCAAATCCAAATGAGGAGGGTTTTTAAAGAGGGGAGTCTCCTCAGGGAGGCTCAGCTTATAACAACAAGTGTACCAGCAGAACTCTGTGAGGCAGACATCTTACTGAATCTCAGCCTTAAAGAGTCTGACGGCAAAAAGGACCAATCTATTTCTATTGAGGTTTATGTAATAAAGTGACTGTTTTATAAATCTGACACGCATTATCTTTGATTAATAGTAAGTTTGAACATCAAACACTATTAATTGCAGTAAAGCACAGAAAGTTAATTAAGGATCTCTTCCTGCTGTGTGTTCAGGTGTTGAAAGGACAGAGAAAACAGGAGAGAAGGAAGAGCCAGAAACGAGGAGGAAAAAGTCACTTCTGGAGCAGATTGGCAGGAAGGATGAGGAGGAAGAAGAGCTGGAAGAAGAATTTCAGGTGCCGCAGCAAGAGAATGAGGGCGTGTTCTCTCTGAACAAGTGCATTCTGGCCGCTCTCATTCTGTTGGGCCTGGGCACCATCTTCTTCTCTGGTGAGAACCACTTAGGAGGCTGTTGTCATGGTATTAGTGGGAATAAAAAAAAAAGAAGCTAAAGGAGGCTATGAGATTGAGCTGTATTATACCTGCAGGTGTCCTCATGGACCTCGATGGGGGTAGGTTGTTTTAGTCTTATTGTGTGTACATGTCAGTGAAACAGTCCAGAGGCCTGCACCACGAAGCAAGCTCAACCTAGCAGGATGCCTATCCAGTTTAACCAGTACACAATGGCAATCAGGATCAGCAGTACCACAAAGCTGGTTATCAACCCGCCAACCCGGGACAACTCAAACCGATTATTAATTGATAAATGTACCCACATTAAGGAGCGCATTCAAGGCAGCAGAGCCACCCCAGTCATGAGCGGCGAGCGCTTTATTTCCCCTGTGAGGAACAAAAACCCATCTTACAGAAATTCATAGACAGAAAGCCAGTCTCAATGAAAAGTCAAACACGGTGGTAGCATCAAAAAGACGCCAAACAGTATGGCTGACAGAGTAAACACTCAAATTCCACATCAGTGTCATTTAGCACAGCCTGCATCCCAATCACTGTACTGCATGTTAATCTCGTTGCTCCATGGCGAATTTTCTAATTCCCTTTAAATAGAATTCAACTCGGTGTTCTAATGCATTTTGCACCTTATTTATTTATGTTGCACTGCTATGAAGCTTCCGTGACGCCTTTTGCAACCTGTCTTTAAACTAGTTTTCCTTTTCCCCTAAACTGTTTACATTTTGGACACAGATGCACTTTATAAATAGAAATGTTCATTTCACTGCTAAGCTTCTCATTCACTGTTGGAAAGCCTTATGCATTGAAATTTTGTTTTAAGTTTGTCTAAGTCTAAATCAGATGTAACCCCTCTGGGGTGAAGAGGGCTTGGGAGCAGATAGAAATAAAGCACAAGAACATCTTCCAACTGTTTAGTTTAACTTTTCAATTCAGTAATGTTTGAATAAAGATGAAGCTGATGCCACGATTGTATCATATTATTAAAAGAAGTGGTTCGTCTGAGTGAAAGAATGCTTGATTATTGCCTGCGTCAAAACTGCTCCACATAGTTCATAGCTGATTTACTGTTGGCATCATTCAGGATTTCTCAGAGTTACCATGGCAATGAGCTGAGCTATGAATGAATCCAGCTTTGTGGTACTGGAAAGTCAGAGTTTAACCTGAAGTTATCTCGCTAACCCAGTAATCCTGCTTCGTGGTGCGGGCTTCAGCGTTTTTTTTTGGCCACTACATCTCTGCAAACACACATGCAGAGCTAAAAGACCTTGCATGTGATGCATTATAAAATCCACTTTAAGTCCTGCTTTTTTTTTTTTTTCTTTTTTGGAGAGGGGCCGTGCTTAAATTAACCGCACTGCATTTTGAAGGCTTCAGTGGCCAGAATAACCTGCTTATTGCTATCGATGAAATGATTTAACATCCAAAAATGAATTTAAAAAATTTGCGAACACAGGATTGGGGTTAGGGGCACTCTTGAGTAATACTTTTATCTAGAAGGTACCAAATTACCCTTTTTAGAAAAAAATAATGTTGCATCAGCTTATAAATGCCTGCCATCGTTTAATTGCACGTTAGATGTTTATTATTTTTTGGGTGGCATGTTTATTACTTGTGCAAGTTAGCTTATAGGCTAAATATTTAACACTGACTGAAGGTTCATTCATCCACATTTACTGTCAATGATGACTTTCAGAGGGCGACTATGCAACAAGAGAACTGAAGGATGCAGAAGCAGCAGGAAAACAGGTCAGTTTGATCTTCTTCTGTTCTGTCTAATACGAGTCATACAGTAACTCATATAACTATTTTACAGAAATCCACAGGTTTCAATCTCCAGAACCATTTGCTGTTGCTCAATGTCTTTATGCACAAATTCTGACCAAAACCAAAGAGAAAATTAGAGAAAAAGAAGAGATATTAAAAAGTATTTCTGAGTATATGAAAAGGTAAAGGAAAACAGCAATCTACAGTTGAAGCAAATTAGCTTATGTGTCAAACAAGATGGACGCATTTCTGATTGAGGGAGTTTAGCAAGTAGACACTGAACCATGAAGCACAAACTGGAGTAAATGGGTTTTAAATAGCTTTAATAGTTCACACATCAGAACCATCCAGGCTCTTTGAGCGTCTCTCTGGGCACCGAGTTGCAGCTTAACTTTGAGAAGCACAATTATCTCCTCTTTCACTCATCAGGACATGTTTGGAATCACAAGTTGGGCCGCTAATACATATTCATCAACAAGGCGTACGAGATCACTGCTTAGCTGAAACTGTCAACTAAATGTTCTTTTGAGTCCCTGAAGGATGCTCTGTTAGACTCCACCTGTCTGAGATGGGAGATGAAAGTCCCGTTGACATCCGGGGTGGCATCTAATTCCTGGACAGATGGTGGTTTGATGCTGTGAAATCAGGCTACAACAGATGAGAAAATGTGCAGTTATTATGTACATTTTCACAATGACCCTAAGATCAGTGCTCAGGTACACTGTGATAACCAGAGCAATGAGTAATGCAGTTCTTCCCCCACCTGTTGCTGCTGAAAGGGTGTGTATATTTTATTTTTTATTTGCAGAAAAGACATTAAAACAACGATGGGAACTGTAGGAATGACTCTAACACTGTTCTGGTGACAGTGTATTCTAGTAATTATTTCTGGAAAAACTAAGAATATCAGGTTTCACTTCATGCCAAACTAGCTGACATTAACCTACTTTTTTTTTTTCAACATTTCTTTCTTTACCAGGACCACAGGAGCATCTGCTACTGTGATAAACCAAACAAAAAGTATTATTAAAAAAAAAAAAAAAAAAAGCTAAATATTGTAGTCTAAAGGGTAACTGTGATATTAATATGTTGAGGACTCAACTATTATATTGTCAAACCTGTGTTGCCTTAAAGCAGGGCTTCCTGAGCTCTCTCCTCGGTCATCCTTTGGTTTCAGGAATCTTTCACAGCCACACCTGCAGAGCAACCATTTCAGCAGCTGAACAACAAGCAGTCAACTGTAGTAAATTACGTTAAAACACTTAGAATGTTTTTTTTTTATTTTTTTTTTATTTAACTGTTTATTTTACCAGGTAATAATATTCAACAGTCCTATAAATACATCTAGAAATCAAATTAGCTATTAAGAACAAATAATTAGATTCTCTTGAACTGAAGTTGAACTGGTACAGTCTATTTTTTTTTTTTTCATTTGAAACCATGTTTACATTTCACAATTATGCACTACCAGCATGTTCTGTGTTATGCTGATTAGACGACCACTTTAGTTATTGTTCTTTTTTTATGACTAGTACTATCTGGTGTAAGCTGGTATGAAGAGCTAATCATCGTTTCTCTTTGTTCTTTTTGACAGGAGTGGTTAAATTCTGGAGTACCTCCAGGTTTAGATCCCAGCAGCTCTGAGCTCCTAAATAAGTTAGATGAAGAGAGCCGGCAGGTTTCTGCTCTGCAAGCTCAACTTCAGGTGTGACTCCATTCTGTCTACTGCCTCGTTCCTCCGTAGTGCATTTGTGAAACCTACACGTGTAAAACAAATGTGTGTCTCTGCGTAAATGTGTCAGCGAGTGCATAACATGCTCTCGGGAGCTTCTTTACCTCTCCTCTTTTTTTCTCTCCTCTATACCAGGCACAGAAAGAGGAGCTAAAAGTAGCAAAGGAGCAGGCAGTGGAGGGAGCGAAGGAACGGCTGCTGTGGGAGGAGGTGGAGAAGGAAAACAGTAGGTTGAAGACGGAGATTGCTTCTCTCCCTGTTCTTCAGAACGAGAACGACAGGATGAAGAAAGAGCTGGAGTCTGTCCCAAGTCTTCAGAAAGAGCTAGAAACCCTGAGATCCACTGTGACAAACTTAAAACTTTCCCCAGGTACAAAGGGAACAAAGTAAGGAGGTGAAGGGTGATAGTAATTAAACAGGAAGGGAGAGTGAGCTTTGTGCATTTCTTCTATTTCAGACTTCATGTCTCCTTAATGACTTCTGTGTCTCTTTCAGCAACCAGTCAAGCAGATCAAGAAAGCAAGAAGCCCTCTACATCACCACCTAGTGGCCAGACGGAGGATGGCAGGCAGGACGGTGCTGGGCTGACACACAAAAAGCCCAGGAAGACTTGGGATGAGCAGAGGCAGAAGGATTTAAAGGGGGATGCATATGAAAGGGATGCCAAGAAACAGTGGAAAGAGAGAGAGAAGTCTGTCAGGAAGGAAGGAGGAAAAGAGTCTAAAAAGGGAGATAAAATGGAGTGGAAGGAGGTAAAACCGGAGCATGGGAAGTTCGAAATGGACAAAGATAAGCTTGATAAGCAAAAGAGGCGAAACGATGAGATAAAACGGGGGAAAGAGAAAGAGTTGAAGAAAAAAGGTGGAAGGGGAGATGAAGGAAGACCCTGGGAGGATACAGGAAGTAGGAAAGAGGGGAAGGAAGGGAGCAATTTGAAAAAAGGGATCTCTGAGAAAGTACATGAGGGTAAAGAATGGACGGGTAAGAAAAGGAAAGAGGAAGGGAGAGAAGGAAAGCATCACAAGAAGCCAAAGGAAAAGGAGGCATGGAAGGAAGACATGGACTGGAAGAAAGGGAAACATGGAACCAAGGAAAAGCAGGAGAGGAAAGACTGGAGGGAGAAAGGAGATAAGAAAGATCCTAAATGGAAGGATACGGTTGACAAAGATCGTATTAAGGAAGGGAAGGGAAAGGGTGAGAGGAAGCATTGGGACAACGACAAATATCAGGGTAAAGACATGACGGGGAAGGATGGGAGAAAAAAGTGGAACGACAATGAGAAGAAGGGCAAAAACGGGAAACAAGAGAAGAAATTGAAGATGGAAGAAACCTTTGAGCAGTTTAAAAACAAAGAGCCAAAACTGAAAGAGAAAAAGCACAATGTAGAATGGGAAAAAGATCTGTTGCACCTCTTGAAAAGGAAAAAGGAAGCCCAATCTCCAGCTCACCATGGTCACAAGGAGGAGCACAGGTACGGAGAAGGAAATCCCAAACACAGCCACCCCAAACCGTCCATGGGACAACCAGAATACTGGCGCCAACAGAGGGAACGCCTCCAACATGACTCCAGACCGCCGCAGCAGTGTAACACGCTGGAAACCTGTGCCCAGGCAGAGGGGCTTCTTCCTGTACCACTATCAGAGTTCCAGTCTGTACTACAAACGTATCTAACCAAGGCGGAGGAGGCCGGAGTGGACGCTTCCAAAACATCCGAACTCAGGAATCTCATCTTGGAGTTCTTTAAGGATGGGATGTTTGTGCACGATCAGAGGAGCTTCCAGGACTTTGTCGATGATCTGGCAGATATTTTGGAAGACATGGTGGAGGTGGAGGATGGTGGAGAGGAAGATAGTGACCTGGAGGATGAAATGGAAGGATTTGAAAAGGAAGTTCTGAAAAAGTTCTCCCTACCAGTAGGCAGAGAGAAGGAGAGGATGAAAGGAGAACAGGGGAAAGAGGTTAGAGAGGAGCGTGGCTGATTGTTTCGATTGGCTGGACGATCACAGTTACTTCACTATGTGTATCGGTCATCCGTTTTTGAGCCACTACAATCTGTTAATTTGAGTCACTAAACTGTAGAATGTCTTTGTTATTCATACCTGCTGTATTTCTGATGGAATGGCTGCTAAGCTTGAATTTTTTCAGCATCTGAAGACTGAAACTTTTGCCCATTCCGCTTTGCAAGATCGCTGAACGCCCAGTCAGATCGGGTTGGGAGCATCTGATGATATCAAGTTTCTAATACAGATTCTCTGTTTGCGTTAATTCTGGGAAAACCTCTGACTAGCTTCTCTCTCTCTGCTGAAGAAGGCATCGTCACAACATCATACAGCCACTACCGTGCATCTTCAAGCTGTTTTTTGACCTCCATCACATAAAAGATTTTGCATATGGGTCAAACTTTGTTTTGTTCTCATCTTACTTGAGCTACTTCTCCCACGTTTCCACCCAAAAAAAAAACCTAATTTTGGGTCCAGATATTTGTGTTGAGATAACATTCACTGGTGTTAAAATATTTTTTCAGTTGTGTTGTTGGTAAAACCTGCTTAAATGTTTTGGGTGTTTGGAACTTATTTTCTAGAATAATTTATTATTTAAAGACTTCCTGTTCATACAGCTCTATGCACTGTTAATATTTACTAAAGTTCACCTTGTTGAGCATACAAGTTAACATATTTATTTATCTTAATGTTTTATGGCTCATTACACCATATTTATTAAGTCTGGCTTCAGTCTGGGTTATTAAAGAAAGGTAGTGAGTAATTTATGTGCGGTTTGCATGTTATGCATTGACCTCTGTAATATTGCTTGTAAATATTCCCTCTCACATGGTTTAAGTAGAGAAATATTTCATTGTATTATTGCAGGCATTGTATAGGAAATAAATGTGGGGCCCTTAAGATCCTGGCATTTTCAGAAAGTAGGGCTTCTTTAAATGGGTTTTGTGGTCCTTTAATCTTTCTACGTAATTTAATTAACATTTGTTTACATGCTCTGTTGTTGTTTTTGTCATGTAGAGGATATTAGTTTGATGTGATTCCTTTTGCTTTTGTTTCATTGATAAGAGAATAAACTGTTTTGGTCTTTTTATGGTGAAAAATCTATATTCATTGTCCTTTTTTTTCTTTCCAAAGAATAACAGTTACATCTAAATTTGTGTTTGATTCACATTGGGCCCAAATAATTGATAATTGTTGCCATTTTCTTTTAGATCATTTTAAAACCCTTGGATCTTAATTACTCTTCTTGAAAACTGTTCAAATAAAAATTTTTACACTCAATTTTCATGTGTCATAGCAGGTTTGAATTAATCTATTATGACCTTTTTATAAATCAACCGTTCACTCTGTTCAGCTTTAATAAAGTCCCTCCATCTTTATAGAAAGATTGCATCATTTCTTCCCTGCCAAGTGAACTAGTATTGCTTGTCTCAGAGTTAATAGAAGAAATAGATACTTTCTTTCAGGTTCATCCTGTATTTAGCTCCTTATATCTATCCATAAACCAACCCCTGCTGTAGAAAAGTATCTGCTAGCATGCTGCTGCCACCACCTTGTTTTACTGTCATAATGCGTGTTTATGCACCCTCTTCCACAGAGTAGCTGTGATAAATATGGAAACTTCTATCGTCAAAGACATTCATATATATTTCTCCTTTTTTTGATAAAATTCAGTGAATATAAAGATGCAGAAAAAACTGACTGATTAAATAAAAAAAGTGATTGAGGGGTAAGACGGAAGGCAGAGTACAAGTACAGCCTGCTCTGTTGATCATTGATCTTGGTTAGAATGAGTTGACATTTTTTTCCTCTGGTAAATATTTAGCTCTCGCTACAAAACTTTAAGACACGATTTGTTTCTGATGAAATGAATCCAGATGTGGGATAATGGTTGAAATGTCAGCTGTGTTCTGCTCTAGTTCTAGTTTCCACTTGCATATTAGAAGCATGTCAGGTTAATTTAATAAATGAGGAGTGGCTGTAAATAAATAATACATTTTATTTCAAAGGGGCCTTTTTGGACACTCAAGGTCACCGTATATTAAAGTTAAAAAAAAAAAAAAAACAATGGCAGAAACAAAGTCAAAACACAGAATAAAAACTAAATAAATTTTTTATAAAAAATAAATTATGAAATAAAAAACATAAAATAAAAACAAATTGTTAATAAGCAGCCTTTATGTTTCTGTAACAGAAGATTCTTTGGTCCCGTAAGTCTCCCTATCTCAGTCCCATTTGAACATTAACTAATAGACAGTGTCTTCCCTACAATATATGCACTTTTTGTCCTTTTTTCCCCCTTTTTAGTAATAATTTAAATTCAGTAGCATCACAATCTAATATATATATATATATATATATATATATATATATATATATATATATATATATATAGTATAATAAGTAATATATATAGTAAGTATATATTTCTTATTTTTTTTAATCCTTTTTAGTTTCCTAGTGTTTGTCTTCAAGGCTTTGCTGTATTAAGCTCCATCAGTCTTCCTATCTATCCTAACCATGTCTTCACAACTGAATGCACGCAGTCGTGTTTTAGGGTGAGGAATGGTGTGTTAAGATTTATGTATAGGGTTAACTTTTGGCTTGTTGGACAAAAAGTTTAATTTAGTGCCACCTTACTAATTTAGCTCCTTCCACATGTTTGCTGCATCCTCCAAATGGATTGCAAAAAAACGATGCATTTCTTCTTGTATATTATTTGTAGTAGCCCTTCTTTGAATGTCCCCAGAACGGCAGGATCTATGGAGTCGATGTATTAAACAGACTTCACAACTTTCTTCTTAACCTGACATCTCTTGCTGATCATGATGCTCTTTGTTCACTCATTTCCTGGAACAAAACCCCAAGTTCTTTGCAAACATCTTGATATTCCCCCCAAAACATATAGCTTGAAGAGAAAGAGAAACGAATGCCTTTGCAAGGCACTGCAGTTAGATTTTCAAGGAACTCTTTAAACTCCGATTCAGGCCCAGATGGGAGGTATTAATCACAAAGCACCTCTCATCTTTGCCCAGTGGAAATCTCTTGATGTACCATTTAGTTTTGTTAGCCACGGCTCCTTTCTACCTCTACAGCAGCTATGGGAATGCGGGGAGGACTCTGTGCTGCCATTTGAGGTAAAAAGTGATATAGATGTGCACATTCAGCAACAGCCATACCTCTGAGACATTAAAGCGATGTGTGGGGATCTGTTGACGATAAGCCAATGTGCTTGTTAGGACTAACTGCTTCCCTAATATGCCAATTGTGAACATCCTCTTTTTCATTGGGGACACCCTAGTGCTCCATTTTCAACAGTGTCTGTTGCATAGATTACATAATCAGCAGTGATGAACTGCTTTGGTTTGTCTCTCTGCTGCATGCTGCTCACAGTTCTGAGTACTGTATATAAAAAAGCCTGTTAAGCTTTGACTTAGTAAAATCATCCTTATTTAACTAATTAAAATAAACTTTAGTTTACAGATTGTCTTCATAAAATGTTATAGGTAAGACAGTTGGTTTTCTGGTTTTTGCTACTTTATTGGTTCCGCAACTGAAGGTTAGTCTGTTTATTTAAAAATGAGGCTTTATGTTCTATCACAGCATTGGTATTATATCTATTAAAGCGTTCCTTTTGGACATGCATTGGCTTTGATTCTTAGTATTTAAAACAAAAACATTTAGAGCTAAAATAACAGGCATCTCAACTTCTTCTCTTGATGCATGGAGACATTTTACCTCCCATCCTGAAGGGTTTTTAGAGAACTTTACATGGGGAGCTTTCAAGTTGTAATCAGAGTAATTACAGCAACAGGGCTTTCAAGGCCACTAACACAGCTGTTATGGGCAATAATAGGTTAAGGTCCCTTAGGGGGCATTAGTCACTAGACCTACCCATTGCAGTATTCACTCCATTCCAAAATGATTACAGGTGACTGCACTGAGGCTAAAACTAAAACATGTTTGAGTTTAAACCTAAAAAAGATTAACAGGAAAAAAGAAAGATTTGCAAAAGAAATGTGAAGAAATTGATAATAATAACAACAATAATAATTGAACTGTATTAATCTCACATTGGAGAAATTGGTTGTGGAATGGTTTATAAAATGAAAAAAGAATATTCACTCCCAAATGTTATGTTGTTTGTTTTGATTTCATTTTATTTTGATTTATTGTAACTCCTTTTTGTTTTCTTTACAATAATATTAGGGATTCTTGTTTTTAATCCAAATTCACTTCCACTTATTTGCAAAATGTAATAATAAAGAAGAACAACAAAAATAATTAGTTAAAAGTTATGTTTTTGTTCAACACAAACTATATACAAAATGTAAATAAGTATATTTTCAAAGAAACTCAATAGATGGTACCTATAATAAAATTAGCATTTACTGCCAGAGTACACATGGGTAGGAAAAAAGGGGCGAACTCTTAATGAGCCACCTTTGGACCGTCAGCTCAGCAGCCAGGGATCCGCCTTGATCAAAAGGACCCTTTGTTTTGCTCTGCGGTCTCATTTCTCTCTACAAACCAAATTTGGAGCTCTGCATGTCCAGTCCTTACACCTTTTAATTTTAATTCAAATTCTTCTAAGAAGAAAGAGACGAATTAAGATTCAAAGTTAATAATTTCTATGGTTGAAACTGTTTATAAATAGCAGAATAAGATAACTACTTTAAAGAGCATCTTTTAACTTGTAACATGCATTTAAATAAACAATATGTTACATCAATTTATCAAAACTTGCACTTAGAGAGCCAATCTGGCGTCAAAATGAAGGACATCTGTAAATGTGAAGTATCTATATAAGGTCATGTTTCCTAGGGTCCATATTGCTACACACACTCACTAACTATAAAACCTGCATGGTTAGACATTGAAGTTAGAGTACAGCAAAGAGGGCATTGTGAATGGAAAAAATTTAAAGGCAATGATTAAATTCTTTCACCAGAAAAGTGGGCTTTAAAAAGACTGAGAAGCTCTGTTACAGCATACCTACGCTCAAACACACCTAAAGAGGTAAGTTTGTATTAAGCTTTAACAGAAGCAAGCATTCTTTCTATATTGGACCTCAGTTGTAGAATAATTTTCGTTAGTTTTTTATTTTTATTTTATTGCATGTTTTTATTTTTTTCAATTTCCCAAAAGAATAGACCCAGCCTTTTGACCGAGTCCATCATGGAGACTGCTGTTGGTGTGCTGGTTTCTCAGTTCAAGGCATATGCTTGCAGAGACGGTTCCTCTGACACACTCAGCAGGGATGAGTTTCAAAAACTGGTCAAATCAGAGCTCCCCAACCTTGTCAAGGTAAGAGAGAAACAGTAACAAACTGACATCCTGCTGAGATATATCTGTGCATCTACAAGTTTTTTGAAAGTCTGGTTAGAGCTGCTTAGCTTGAGATTTAAACCTGGAACAAGCAGCATTTAAGTATTTTCTTCTTTTAATGTATGCATACTGCATGTTAGTCTTGTATTTCAAACTATATGAAGTAACTAACGCTGGTTATTATTCCATTATTGATTTTCATGTTTAAACATTATTTACCAATCCTTCAGTTTTTACTTTTTAACGTGGTTCCTTTGATCCAAATACTGATTAAATCACCCACATTAATGCTTTTTATGTTTTCATTAATACTGTTTGATAACTTACATAAATTTCACTACTGATGGGCAATGGAGGTAATTTATTCCTGTATTAGTCTTGCCAGGTATAGAGGCTAAACATTTCAAATAGTTTCAGGTATTTTTTTCCTCTTTCTGGTCTATTATTCCTGCATATATACAAGTGATTAAACTCAGCTGTTAGAGAGCTGCAGTAACAAGCCTCATCATCAGTTGACGTCTTCCAGACAATCAAGGAGGCATTGCAGTAAAAAGCCTTTATATATATATATATATATATATATATATATATATATATATATATATATATATATATATATATATATATATATATATATATATATATGTGTGTGTGTCATTTGAAACAAGCATATCATATTATTTCCAATTATCATTATGTCGATGACACAATATAAGTGAATGTCTGTTGTCAACACATCCAGGAGTGACTCCTGTAAAGTTGATTCAATCAGCTGGCTTTCCTTAGATAGAAAACATTGAACCAATCTGTATGACCTGGTTGAATTGTCTCTGTCTGTTATGAATTGCAGTGATATAAATGAACTGAATTATGCAAACCAAAAACCTATTGACCCCAAAATCTACCACCCTAAGTCGTCGATGTTCTCCCCTTTGGACTTCGGTTATTTATGTCATTCTGCTCTCTTGGTCTTTGGTTTATTTTCCATTTTGTGTCATTGTAGTTGTTTTCTAGCAATGTTGTTTTTTGTGTTGCTCTCTGTTGCCCCCCTTCTAGTCCCTTCTATCCACACCTGCTCCCTGTTAGCTGATTACCCAAGTCTTTGTTCTGTCCCCCATATATATGCCTCCTTATTTTTGGGTTCCTGCATTTTGTTCTTGGATTTTGTTTCTGTTGCCTTCTTTGATTAAATCAGCAAACTCATCTCTGGCTCCTTCTACTCTACGTTTTGGTCCACAACCACATCCACCATCTTCTGACAGTTAGGTGTTCATCAAAACTGTCAATCCTCTTTTTCTGCCACTCCCATGAATTAATCTTTTATTCTCTATTTCTTATTCAAATTTTCAAGCAACTAAAACCTGTTTGAGCTCCACTCACAATATCTGAATAATGAAAATGACTGAAAATGACTATGGCCACTCCAAAACATTAATTTTTGGGGGGGTTTTTCTGAGCAGCTCTGCTCTTCTTAAACTGATTATCAGATATTCTCGGTGATGATTTTCTACTTGAGAGCAAAGTTCATCAATCTCTGATTACGTCACGTTGTCCTGGTCTTTATTGGACCCCAGACAATATTTCTAACACCATCATGTTTGATTGTTGCTGTGAAATTTTCTGTCCATAAAATATTTTACAAAAAGTGTGGAGTTCCTCAAGACATGTTTTTTTTTCTTACTTTTGGTCACTGGTAGTTAAGCTCTGAACACTTTCTGGAGACTATTGATATGAGTGTCTCAGATTAGAGGGAAAGCGTTTCTGAAAATAATTGTTCTGATTTGGTCACAGGAGCTTGATTAGGTTAAGGTGTGGACTTTGTTTGGGCCAACACATGGACATGTTTCATGTTAAACCATTCCATTGTATACTTGGATTTATCCTCAGGTTGGCTGGCCTGCTGGAAGGTTGACTCCGTCCCTTCCTCAAGTCTTTTGCTCAGACAGGGCTTCTTCATTTTTTTGGCTCTCCTTGTTGAAGAGAATGATGCTACAACCAGCATATCTGACAGTGGGGATGGTGTATTCAGAATGAGCTGCACTTTTAGTTTCCTGCCACACAAAGACTATTGTAATTCATTCAAAAAAGTTAACTTTTGATGTTGTCTGGTCAAAGTACCTTCCTCCATGCTTGTTGTGTCCCCAGCATGACTTCTGGTAAACTGCACACAGGACTTCTTTTTTTTTTCTTTTTTAGCACAAGCTTTCTTACTTACTATTTACTCATTTACATTTACTTGAGTATTCAAGTAAATGTCACAAGCAACAAGTAACTTTTACTTGAATAAAAATATGATAAAGTATTCCATCTCTTGAGTAAAATGTTGTTAGTAACTTCATTTAATTAAAAAAATTGTTTTAAGCAAAATGCACCATTGAGGGACACACTTTCCTTATTTTGTACTGAAGACTTACTGTGTAAATGTTATTTTCCACTTATGGTCTCTACTGTGTTAGTTGGAGGTTGAGTGAAAATACAACGAACAGTATAATGTTATTTAATGTTATATACCTAGTATTATAACTCAAAAAATGTGTTTTGAAAAGTGTTAATTCCACATATATGTTGCATTATTGTGTGTTATATGTTTGTTTTTATCATATTCTTTGGAAAACCATCTTTTGCATACATTAATTATGTCATTTTACATCATGATAACTTCAAATTAGGGGTTATGATCATGGGTAGAAAATAGAACAATTACCCAATACTTCAGTAGCTTTTTACCAAATACTTTTTGAATCTTTCTAAAAAGTAATTTCTTTACTAGAGCACAAATATGATGGAAGTAGTGCTACTGTTAGTTAAGTACAATTTCTGGGTACCCTACCCACCTCTGCTACAGACACTTAACATTTCTTTTGATTTAAAATATGTTTAGCCACTAATAAAATGTGTCATTTGACCTTGCAGGCAATGTGCTCTGGTTAGAGATCATGATAGAGATCAAGGCCTCTCTTTCGCCTTGAGCTGTAATTAACCCGTGTCTATTTTGAAACACTAGATCACTGTAATATTTGATTCACTGCTTATTAAACCGATTTCATTTTTCCCAAAAAAATATGTTCATGTGCATGCACGTTAAGCATTAGCCCTAGTTGCAGTTTATTGGAATAAAATAAACCAAACTAGAGGAAGTTTATCTGTAAAACGGTTATTTCGTGGGGGGATAGTGAGGTTTTAATGGGTATCATCTGACTGCTCTATTGCCCTATCTTTGCTATGGTCATGCAATCATCTGATTGTGTGATTCACAGCCGTAACTATGCATGGAATGTTCTACGGTTTCTGAACATAATACATTTAATACAACAAAAATAGCTTTTCTTGTTCATTGTGCAACTGATACAAGACTTCACATGATACTCTTGCCTGCCTTACTTCTATTAAGAATACACACCAACATAAAGTAGATCTTCATGAGGCCTAAACACAGGATACTGGACTCCATTTTTCTCCCCCAAGTGTGGAAAATTCCACAAGTTTCCTCTTTGGCTGCACATCTGGACTCATCCACAGCAGCCACAAGATGGTGACAGAGCCAAGGAATCGTGTGCCAAACCATCTCTGCTGGTTCTGCATATATAAGGCTATTTCTGATGAAGCATTGAATTGCTGCTAACAGTTTTCTTACTGGTGTGATTTTACAGGATCTTCACCTGTTTTTTTATTAGGGTTTTCTTTTTTCAGGGTCTTACAGAGGTTGTTTCCTGTTGTTTTCCTGCAGAATGCTGGTGACCCTGCTGACATTGACCAGCTCATGAGGTCATTGGACAATAACAATGATGGAGAGCTCAGCTTCCCTGAGTTCTGGCAGCTGATTGGGCATCTTGCAAGCAAACATGGAGGATTCAGCCAATAGAGTCCTTTTTCTTTAAGTTGCATGTGTGCAACTAAACTTTCTGAGTGCCACATAATAAGAAAAGGGAAATCCTTCATAATGGAAATCATCTCAGTCTGTTTCCTCTATTAAAGATTTCAACAAGTCAGTTCACTGCTCTGATAAAATTATAGGCAAACTTTAAGCACTAAAGCAGTTTCATAACATTTTGTTGGTTTTATTTAAATCAGTGTCTCTCTGTTTCTTTCTCAAATGTAATGATAACTAAGGATAATTTTGTTCATTGTGTTTGACATAAATTCATAATAGAATAAAAAAAGAAAAAAGACTTTGTGTCTTGGCTCTGCTGACCTCAAAAACTCCCCATTACTAAGGGGCGGGGGGGCTTGTTTTTTCTGTTCAATTTGCATGTTTTCTATAACCCATAACAAGGCTTTGCTGGGCTGCTCCATAAAGCCTGGAACTCCACGCTAATCCAGACATTTTGAATTGAGAAAGCTTCCTGGATGGGAAGCGTAACGTCTTCAAACATGGAAAACAAAGTCCAGGGGATTGTTTTTAACTTTTTTTGGAATAATGACATGTTGTTGGTGGTTTCGTGGAACAGTTTTTATGGATGGCTGTTTCTTGCCTTGATTTTGAACTCAAGTCTGACCAAATGTAGTGGAAAAACTTTCATATGGAGACTAGTTAGAACTCTATCTATCTTTCTGTCTGTCTGTCTGTCTGTCTGTAGTGGGTGAAGGAGTGGGGTGAACTGAAACAGTTACAGCTTTATCAGAAGCAGCCCATGCTATTTCCCAACACACACACTCCCTCACTCCAAGCAACATGTGCTCACAAGCCAGTCATTAGAGCTGATGGGTGGGGATGCATTGTCTGAAAAAGCTATGTGTAAGCTTTCTTGACTCGGTTTATTCCTGGAAAACATCACCTCCCTATTCCCCTGGGAATGAGGACAGGATTTAACACTTACAACTCTACCAATATATACAAAAAAATAGAAAAAGAAACAAATAATGTTATAGTGCATGTATGATCTCTGCTTTCCGTTGTTTATATAGGTTTGTTTATTCTAATAGTCACAGGGTGTGGCTCGGATAACATCTGTGCGCGCACTCAGAAAAGGAGCGCACACTTGGTGTTACATGTGAATAAAAGTTCCAGGATTAAAAGAATGTGTTATGTTGGTTTTAAATGGCAGGGAAAAAAAAAGATTACATAAAAATGTTTTTTTTCCCCTTCGTTTGCTCAAGAATAATTCTGCTTTAAATAGAGAGTTTAAGCTGCGCCTCTTTCTACATTCCTCCTCTCTCAGGCACACGCCCTGTGAAAACGAAAAAAAAAAAGGTTGGCTGGAGAGGAGGTTAAATCACGGAAAAGATATGTGCTGTTGGTTAATCTGGTGAGGGGGATCAAGAGGAAAGAGAGTGAGCAGCTGCTGAAATTTTCTGTTCACTTTTTTTTGGTTCCCTGTGCTGTAGGTAAGTCTTGCTTTTTTTTGGACTTTTTCATTCTTGCGCAAACCGATTTTCAATTTCTAGAGCTGCTTTCCAGAGTCAAACAGAGAAAAACTGATTATTATTTTCTACAGATCTTTTTTTTGGGGAGTGTCTGTTCTTTAGACAGCGAGGGTCGGTTTCCTCTTGTTAGTAGGTAATTCTACTCCAATCCCTTTACACTTCCACAGAAACTAGACTCTCCACTCACCCCTTTTTATTTATTTATCTACCTCATGTGTCACTTCTTCCTCCAACCGCTTGACAAATTGTTAAGATTAGTTTGGGGCTAAATTTAAATGGGAAACACCCTCCAACATCTCCGTTACGCATCTCAGCTTTAACTGGAAAAAACTTTTTTTTTCCTTTTTGCGCGCACACCCAGAACCTAAAGCAGTCCTCATTATAGATGCAAGGCTCTTATCAGCCTAAATTATTTAGTTTTTGATAAGATCCTGAAGCAGAAACTTGGCCTGGTGCAGTTAATGGCGCGGATGAGGAGAGTGACCAGATCCATGACAGGGAGGAAGTGGAGACAGACACACCTTGTTGGAACAAAGCTGGTCATCAGGGTGGAGCTGATCAGTTACTCTGATTGATCAGCTCAATTAAAGTGGTAGGAGAGACAATAAGCTGCTTTAATCGGTTTAAGTTTGGAAAAACCTAATAGATTTGAGAGAAAAAAAACACATTTTTGGTTTTCTGATAGATTGACAAGGCAGGCCTTCATGACTCACTGAACCAGTTTGAGCATGAATGTACACAATCATCGCCTGCTGTAAAAAGTTTTATTTCAAATAATTTTTATGAGTTACTAATATGACACTTTAATACATCAATCAGGAAACAATAAATAAGCTAAGATTTCATGCAAAAAATAAACCAAAATTTAAGAGGACCAGAATACTGGTGAGAAACTACTGAAGTGCATTTTCAATTCAGTTTCAATGGATGTATGTCTAGATATTATTGTAAATGGATTTGAATTTTACACATTTTAAATACAAAAGAATTATTTAATTACTATCATACAGTAGGTTTTTTTTAAACTTAAGGGTTTTGTTGTGCAATCCTCCCTGTAGTATCAAATTGCAACATCACAATCAAAAATGAGAGTATTACAGCAATATCTAAAAGTACGTCATATCTCATTTGCCCTGCATGAAAATACTAAATAATTTTGAACTTTTAGCAAGACTTTAATTTGCTATATATATCTATTTAGGCCAAAATGCTAACAGCCAATGGTATGCACATTAGCACTATTTCCACACAGAGCTCCAGGCTTTATTTTACCCCGGTAAAAGGAATCCTGGGGTTTTTCTCATACTCTGAAAGGCCATTTGACTTTTATTTAAATCAGCTTGAGAAAAAACTGTGCTTGTGACAAAGAGTAAGATAGAAAGAAGTCAGGAATGTGGGTTAACACAATGTTGAGTGATGTATAGCAACATGTCTTCCCAAAGCTGGTGCGATTTATAAACGCCCAGTTTTGCTTTTAGCTTTTTTGTTATTTCTAAAAAGATAGTTTGGATTTTCTGAAGTGAGAACCTGTTAAGTTTATATACTGTAAGAATGCTGTATAACATGTAGTAAACATCATATTGCAAGTGAATAATCCATCAGACAAATGGTTAAAACTGTAGCAGTATCAGCGGGGTGTGTTTTCTCAAGGTAAATGTATTGACTTAAGACGACTTGATGAAAAGTAAATTCCCTTACGCAAGGGACATTAAAATCCTATGCTAAACCACATGGAAACTGTTATGGTTAAACAGTTGTCATGCATACATTGATGGACTAATCCAATGTTGAGTATTTCTTGACGTTTCATTCTGTTTATATCACAGCCATTTTCCATAAATATAATCTTATGAGTCAACAAAAGACATTTATATATCGTATGATTAGAGAAAAGTCGATTCAGACCATTCCAGTTGTAATTACTGGACTTTTACAGCAGTAGTTTTATGTAGTTGTTCATCTTGTAACCAGTTAGTTGCTGGTTTGAGGCTCTGCTCTCTCTGTCTGCTTTGTTGTGTCCTTGGGCAAGACACCTCACCCTAATTGCCTACTGTTCGAGGTCAGAGGGCTCGGCAGCTCTACTGTCGGTTTTATCCAATGAAGCTGTGGCTACAATGCAGCCTATAACCATCAGCATGGGAATGTCTGTGTGTATGACTGAATGTAGAGCTTTAAAAGTTTTTAGGTTCCTCAGACTTGATAAAGTGCTATAAAAGTACAGATGTTTAACACTCATATTTGGTGTTATTGTTGATACACTGAAGGAAAAATTCTACTTTGTGTGTAGAATATGTTGGTTCTGCCCTGTTTCAGATACTAGACCTGATGTCTTGGATGCAGGAAGGTTTTATGGAGACTTCATTGATTATTATGCTTAAATGTTTCAGATCGTCAAATAAATGTTGTTAAAGTCTGGAGATTGACTGGGCCAATCCCAAATGGTTTTTTTTGAGTCATTCAGATGTGGACTTATTAGTGTGCTTCAGTTCATTGCTTAGAAGCTTTGTACAATTGTTTTGAGTTTTAAGATGCATTGTGGCAGTTTTAAAGGTAAATATACATTTTTTTATCTTTCCCATACATTCCCTTACAATTGCATGGTGAATTAAATGGGTCTTCCTCTATTTATCTCGGTTTCCATTATATGCTCCATATGTCAGTTCATTGGAGAGCGATTCGAGGTGAATTCTCTGGGTATATGCCTAGGTGCTCTAATTCCCCAAGCAACTTCTTTGAGTCTCCACCAAACCAAGAGAAAATGGTGAAGTGACGATTGATCACAACTAGTGCACCTGAAACCCCACTCTGCTCAAGAGTAAGCAAATGTAACTTTAGTCTCATTGAAAAAGCCATATTGGAGTCTGATCGGGGACTGAATGAGATGATACTGATGTTGGGGAAGCTTTCAACAAAGAGGGAGCTCAGACCTGGGCATGAAATGGACTGCTCTTGGTCCTTTTTTTTTTTTGCTTAAAACATACAAAGCTTCATTCTAAAACATTCTTTCCTCAGAGACATGAAGCCTGTAGAAGCAGCAGATTCCTTCACATGTGTACAACACTGGTATCATTTTAACTTGACGAGAAAGAAAACATCCTAAAAAAATCTTGGCCTTGCCTTAAACTCCTTTAAGAAAACTCATGGCTGAATATTTTCCCTCTCAATTGTCTGGGAGGGAAAAGAACTCGTAAATCTATAAAATAAAACAAGAAACAAAGGCTGTAATAATGTTTAAAGAACTGAAGCCTTCAAACTTGCAGTACCAAAGTAAGAAAAAACTATGAAAAGGTAGTTGATACAAGAGTAAGACCCAGTCCACACTGAGACAGAAAAAGGATTTCGTTTTTCATAAACAATTTGGGGAAAATGTGCACCCTGCATAATTACATACATCACCAATGATATCACTGCAGTGAGTATGTTAGAGCCAATAGTGGTTTGTGTCACTGCCACAAACATATTTACACTTAAACCATAATCAAAGACACCTGCATGCGCAGATTACTTTTGAGAGGTTATCACAGCAACATGGCAGCAAAGAACCTTATGTGGGTTACACGGTCAGCAGGACACACATAACTGTAAATATACAGTCATATGTTTATATTACTGTTTTTATATATTTATTGATTTTTTTTCTTATTCTTTTTCAAGGCTGCGCTTTGAAAAAAGATGAAATTGTCCAGAGAGCTGGTCCAAACGAAATTTCTTTTTGTTTTATACCTGTGTAAACAAAATGACAAATAAAATCTGTCTAAGTCTAAATCTTTCCAAAAAAAAAAAACTGTGTTTACGCTCTCCCAAAGCGCCAGATCCAGGGGGACGCCTAAAACACAAAATACGTTCACCTTTGCATCAAAGGATGGACCAGAAGGTTTCAGGATCTTGACAATGTTTATCTGTGGCTGTTTAGTTGGTCAAAAATTTTGCGTCTACATCTCTAAAGTAGGTTTTTAACAGTATGGAAACATATCTACTGTATATATTTGCAGTCTAAGTTCACATTAAGAACCTCTAAAACTATAAATCTCTGAACTAACATGTGCTTCTAATTTCTTGCAAACCAACACATACCAGTCAAACTTCCCCCTAATGAGAATCAGTGGCAAAAATAAAACAATGAGCATAGCTTCACACAAGCATTCATTCCATGTGAGTCATCCTGATCTCCACGCACTCTGGATCGGAACAAATGTTTGCCGAGGGGAACCTTAAAAATGACCCCTTGTGCATTCAGAACAAACACCAGCAAATCAAGCCATCTTTTCCTCCCTACATTTCCTCTCTTTCTTATTCTGACATCCTGGCATCCTTTACTGAAGGCCTCTTACACTTAAATTAGTCCCTACATGCTACTTCTCTTTACTTTTTTATGCTGATTGCACTGACACTCTAGTTCGCATTCATCTTTGCTGTTTGCCTTGTGAAGGATGTCACAAGGTGTTGGAACAATCATAGCAGCCTATCAAATAATAATGAGCACCATGTTGATGATAGATGTTTACTTGCTGGTTGGTTAGCTATGAGCGCATTGTGTGTCGACGTGAAACTGAACCCTGGGTTTGGATGTTGCTTCTTACTCACCTGTTAATTAGGTTAATGCAGTAGAAGTCCAAGCTGACCTTCTATTGATGCTTCAGCTTGTGTGTGTGTATAGTTGTCTTTCTATTTTGTGTATCCTTATAGCACCATAGGCGTAGTGCAAGTATTAAGGTGTGGCATCTGTGTCAGATAGGAGATCTAGCAGCTTCTATGGTTACTCCTACGGCTGTCGCCCGTTCATCCATCACAATCAACCATACGGCGGCTGCTGCTGCTGCCTCTGGGTAGTTTCCGATACACACTGGAAATCTTGCAGAGCCTCTTCTCTTCACTTCACTCTGCTGATACTGATCAACTCTACTCAAGTGTCCACAACATTTTTCCAGGCTGCTGTTGCTCAAGGTTTTACAAGAATTAAAACTGAATAAGCAGAGTTTAACAGATAAAAGCCTAGAAAACATTTTTAAAAAACCTGAAATAAACTGCTTTAAAATCTTTATTTAAAAATCTGTATTTGTATGTGTTTATATATTAGTATAGAGAGAAGAGAAAATATATAATTTGAAAATGTATTACATTTTTAACACTATGACAAAATAACTCATTAATTCTTTTCCATTAGTTTTGATAGATTTTGATTAAGTAATCAGCTGAGAAAACCTTCATTTAAAATTATTAGCACCCTTTAAACCTTCCCAGATTTTTAAAGATATCACAATTACAAGTTTCTTTGTCCCAAACTCCTTAAAGTTACAATGTGTAATAATCACAAGGATTTACTGACAAAACATGATGTATTATTCATAAATATGTTATTTATTATCATTTAGGAACTGAAAATCTGTTGCTGTTTATAATAACACAAGAGCAGGTTTTATATTTATGGAGGCATCCAACCAACACAATAAAAACAAAAACAAAAAAAACACTACAATTACTTAGTCTTTTTTTTATCACTATGCTAAGCAGCTCAGTAAAAAGCAGCCCACTGCTCCCCAAAGGAGGATGGGTTAAATGCAGACAGTGAATTTCCCCACTGTGAGACCATAAAGGATTTACACATTTTGATAGCAATCACATCAAAAAAAGCCAGGTATGGATTCAGGAGCAGGGCTAAATTGATGGCATTCTACCTTTTTTTTTAATGCACGGGGGATTTTAAATTCATGCATTTAGTGTAAAATATGCTTTTTTAGAATTATATAAGCTCGTGGTGAATGAAAAGCGTAATATATGCTTGTGGTTCACTTTTGTCCTAATCCTGACACCATAGCTTCTTAAGTCAACACAGGAATTGAAGTGCCAGAAAATGATCTTAAAGGTATAGAGGAGGATTTTCCCGAATTTCTGAAAAAAACCCACCCTCTCCACTTTAAAAACAAAATGCACATGCTCAACCCTGTACCTGCTTCCGAGCGGGAACGCCTATTAAATGCGTTCGAATGCACGAGCCTATTTTTCCTTGTGCACACTCTGTTTAAAAGTTGCTTTTTGCATCCCCTATACAAGCTGATGCGCAATTTTTCCCCTATGTCAGACTCACCACCAGTAAGTGAGAATGGGGACGAGGGCCTTACGTAAATATATCACCAGAATGATTGACAATTAAGAGAACAATTTTTAGTTTGATGATCACCCGGAAAAAGAAAATCCTCCCCTATACCTGTAACTTTCTGATTTTAAGACCATGTTTTTAATAAACCAGCAGTAGATATAAAACTTTCTGAGAGTAACTTGATGATCTTTAAAAATTCAAGTGTTCATCCCTGTTTTTAACTCCTTTGTTTTAAATACCTCAAAAGTTAGAGTCTTGATATGTTTGAAGAAAAGTTCTTGTGCTCTCCCACCCCAGAGATGAGTCATCTTTCTTTTGCTAATGTAACAGACTGATCAGGAGTGAACAGGAAACAGGTGTGATTCTGTCTCATTAGTTGTGTCTCTTTATGTTTTATTACTTTTATTCTTTTTTTTATTATCTTTAATGGCATCTTGCTTTAACTCTGCTCACTCTATATAAGATTCTGGAACCAGAATTTCCCTGAAGAAGTAGTCCCCGAGGGATAAATAAAGTTGTGTCTACGTCTAAGTCTTGTCGGTGAAGCAGATGATGTTTCAGGTTCACAGAGGTTTAATGCACATTTTTATTTGCTGTCAGCAGTATTGCAGAAGTTTTCTCATTACCGCCTTGGCTTGTTCAGCTTGTTGTGAAACGGGAGCTTCAGTTCTCAGCTGCTATTAGTCACTGCGGTGTAGGGGGCAGGTGTTGATAATAATGTCTTTGCTCTTAACAGGTGTGCCAGAAAACCACAGACATGCACCAACTGGAGCAAATGTTCTGAACATGCAGAAGACAAATAAGAATCTATCATGGTGATCTTAATTATAGACACCATGCTTTAAGTGCAGGGAGATCATGGGTTCATGTTTATTGTGAGCAAAATAATAATATGTTTTCATCTAAATATTATCAGGTATATATTCTAAGTTGCATAGAAAATAGACCACCCAGGGAATCATTTAGAAATCCACATTGTTTGTGCTCAGGTTGTTTGCTTGTCCCGTTTAGTGATGTTTTATGGATCGTTCTTGACCAGAGGGATGTGCTGCTTCAGAGCGTGTGGAGGTGTAGCAGCAGTGGATGGTATTAGGGAGGTGTAATCCAGACTTTTATGAGTTTTACATGTGGGTTTTTGTGGATCAGATGTCCTCTGTCAGAGGTTGTAGCTTCCTTTGTCCTTTCCTCCAGGGATTCTTTCTTCACCCGTTTCTTTCTCTCTTTACTCGTTCCAGCCATATTATCCTCTCCTTCACTCCTCTCCTTCTCCCCCATTATGATTTTTCCTCCATCCATCTAGTGTAAACATAAGACTAAGACAAACTTTATTGCCATTTTGTATACACAGTGTATAAAAAAATATGAAAAATTAATAAAAACACAAAATTTCATTACATAGAGCTTTCCAACAGTGAATGAGCAGCAGCTTAGCAATGAAAATTAAAATTTTCATTTATAAACTGCAGCAGTGATAAAGACACAAGCAAGACCAGCTGACACACTATTTTAAAACCTCATTTCATCATACTTTTTTTACTTGTGTGCATTTCTAAATGAAATGTTAAAGAATGCTCATGCATTATGAAAAATATTATTTACAGAATAAAAAGTTCAATCAGCCGGTAGGGATCTTGTCTACCCGCCTGTCACTCTGCCTCTTTATCGATTAGATAAATGGAGTTCAGTTTTCTTTTATTACACATCTCATCTGATTTTGTTTTCCTGCAGGGGATTCAAGAAAGATTTTAGGTCTAGTAAGGAAACCACATATTTCTGATAAAGGGTCCCTCCAAAATTATTCACAGTGTTTTCCTTAGATAGAAACTTTGAATCAATCTGACTGGATGATCTGGTGAACTGTAAAGTGTCTTGAGATGACATGTGTTGTGAATTGGCGCTATAGAAATAAACTGATTAAATATAAACTGAATTGTTACCTATTCTACTCTGTTTTGTGTTAAAATAAAAAATAAAATCCAATAAATTACACTAACGGCTATATTACAATATGAAAAAACATCAAGGAATTTGAGTACTTCTGCAATGCACCATTAAAGTACTTCTTTTAATTAGATTACCCAGAACTCCACTGGAAGGCATATTGTTTGAGAGGCTGGGATTCTAAGATACGACCATATCTCACTGTTTCCTTACTCAGCTGTCCTCTTCTGCCCTTGTCTCTTCTAATTTTAGAGATATGGAGTCAGCCATTAAGACCGTCGTGACGACGTTTCTCAGTTCTGCCAGAGGGAAGGAGAACCTTGATTCTAAATCTTTCCAGAAGCTGGTCCAGAAACAGCTCGGTGGTGTCATGGAGGTAAGAAGGCGTACAACTCCTAGCTGTGTTCTCTATTATTTGAACACATTTGACCCATATTGTTTCTTTGCACCCTATATGTCAGGACACCAACAGTAGTTCCGCCGTTAAGGAGATGCAGCAGGGCCTGGACCAGAACAGTGACGGAAAAGTCAGCTTCCAGGAATACCTCACTCTGATTGGCTACATTGCCAACAGCCTCAGTCAGAGCAAAACCGAATCCAAAGCAAATGCATCATGAAGAAGAGGCCTGCATGAAACTAAAACACACCTTCCTCCTACTTAAACTGAAACATTCCAACTAGCATATAAAATGTCTTTCTATCTTGGATATCTGTAATATTTTACTGAACGGCATTTTTTTTTCTAAACCTTTGCTTAATTTTATTTTATTTTTTTTAATCCAAACAGTCCCGCACACAAAAGTTCTTGGTTGGTCTTTTTATAAAAACTTTAAATAGAAACATGGTTTGCAAATAAAAGCTTTGTATCAAAACTGACGTTTATGGTAACTTTTTAATTGCTGCTTTTGTGTGTGTTTTTTTTTTTTAATCTTGGCAAACATTAATATTTTAAATACTTTTTTTACACCTACTACCTTTTCTTTGAGTCCATTTGAAGTTAGAGGCTAAAATTGCATCACTTAATAATTGATACAACAATACAGAAAATATTTGATTAATACATAAAAGACTCAACAAAATGCATAATAAATAATTTCAAAAATAAAAGGAAGAACTCAGTTCTCTGTAGTACAAACCTGATGTATTTATACCATTTTCAGCTTAGCTGAATCACTGGGTTTTACTCATACACATAAAGTGTTCATTTATTTTGATACAATGCTACTCAGAAATAACAGTTGAAAAAATAAAATATTTTCCAAACATTTTTTCAATATCTGTACTCTTATTTTTCTCTGCCTTTACTACATGCATCCATATAAGCCTTTTGTTGCTCCTATGTAGACATGATAATTCTAAGAAACCAATCTTTACTACATCTTGTCCACTGAAGTTGGCAGGAACATAAACTGACATGCTTTTCTGTTGGTTAATATAATTTTTGGGTTTTAACCCAGCTATTAGTAAAGGCAAGATTACCTGCTGTTTCCTGACCTTTCTCAGCTCAACACATCTGCTTAACTTAACAACATGCTGGCTTTTGTTTCCCATCGTGGGGATCAGGCAAACAGGAAGACATGGTTTACTAGCACTAAACCTTTTCCCTTTCTAGTTAGAGGTTGGATCTTATTTTCTAAATGTTTCAGTAAGCCTTTGCTGCAATATAAGATTGCAAAATGTAGCATTGCATTTTTGCAAAGCTACCTTGTTCCCTTCCTCCCTACATGCCACACTTGCTAAATATAGCTGTAAATTCTCTGATGAGTCCGACTCATCGGCTTTTAGATGCATGAACTGCTGCAACCAGATCCTGACACACAGTATGCTTTCTATTGTGCACCATACTGCCTCTCTGCAACACTATCCACATGTATGGTGTGTAGAAACCTGCACTCACACCGTGCTGCCCCACTCACTGACACAAAATACTGCAGCAAAGACACATAAACAAGAAGATGCTCTTACCAACATTTCACAGGAATAAATTTAGTGGCTTGTAATTTAAAATATTGCCTAGGCATTCACTTTGGTGTAGTTTAAGGTCATGTATGCACAAGGACATGTTTTAATCCGCTGGTTTTGTTCAACAGCCTTGCTGAAGAGTAAGGCAGATAGATGAAAATGAACCATTTAGTGTGTTTCTGTTTCTGATGAAATGTGCCTTCAGTGAACTATTTCAAGAATGTTTCTGTTCCTGTTTAAAAGTCACTGTGGTTAGGCCCTTATTTTCCCATGTCTACTCAAGCATAGTAAGTCGTTGTATTTGGGCAGGAAAGTGTTTGTTGAAGGGTTGATGTGTGCATGCCCTTCCTTTGTAGGTAGGGTTTTTGTATGGGGATTTCTGTCTGGCAGGTGTAAAGGCTCTGTTCACTAGCCCTGAACTAATCCACCTGGATACTATATCAGCCATGACCCCCCTCTTTTTTTCTTTGTGAACTCCTGGTCCACACAATCACCTCAATACCCAACTTGATGCGTTGCATTTTAGCATATTACAGAGCACATAGCACTCTCTTTTGGTGGGATTTTTTTCTTTTGGCATGAAATACAAACAGGTTGCACAACAAAAGAGCAGGATAATCCACTGTATTAATCATAAACCATTTCTTGCACAAAAGCCTACTGTGTTCAAAAGGTCCTCTAGGTGTACCTGATGACGCAGAGGAAAATATAAATATTACAAAATCAGCATTTTAAATTTGAGGACTGAAAGCATCCCTTTATCTGCATGCAATGCATGCATGCATTCAGTGCTGGATAAAGATCAGTTTAAATGACTTACATATCAGGGGTATCCCAGGAGATTAGGATATGGTGAATTATTTCTTTTAATTCAGTAACTATCTAATCTAAACATTAAACAGGTTCCTTACAGACAATGAGCAGTGATGTGAGTAATGACATTAGAGAAGAAAAGCATCAGTAACGTTAATTGCTGCAGGTCATACCTGGGTCTTTTCTAGTGAGCAGAGGTAGCAGGGTTGCTGAGATCAAGGCAAAGGTTAAGCTGATTGGCTACGAAGGCATAAGGTGGGCGGGGGCTGATGGTGCACATAGCTTGAGATCGACAGAAACAGAGATGTAGGATGATGGTTGAGAGCTAAATTCGGTTATAGCGTTCCTAAACTGGAAGACACTGTAAAATAAAGCAGCCCTCATTGTCTCATCCTTCCACAACACTGAGTGATCACTTACATGGAATGCTGTTTTTTTTCACTTTTATTAACAAGTCTGTCCATTGTTTAGAAACAATTCTAGTGCAAAGTGTTTTTATTTTAATTATATTTCTTAAAGAGCATTATTTTTCACAGTTTTAACTGGTTATAGCCGCTCATAGCCTATTAATGTGCATAAATACCAAGTTCTTAAAGATCGTTTTTGTCTCAAACATTCAACATAATAATAATCGTCATATCTCCATAAATATATTTTAATAGATAAGTGTCATATCTTACCGCTTTCACCACACACATTTACATTTTTTGTACAATTTCTTTCAGACATGTAGACAATTTCCTTATCTGGTTAATTAGTCAATATTACAATTTTCAATTTGATAACTGAACTCAGTTGTTTTAGGTGCTTTATCTTTTAATCTAGGCGATTCTGGATTACAGCTAAAGTAAATTATTATTTCAATTTAAAAATGAAAAATATTACCTAAGACAAATCAGAAGTACATTTTTAGAGAAATGCCGACCTGCTGTAATTTACACCTGATTACTATGCAGCATATTTATTCAGTAACTAATTCTTTCTTTTCAAGTATACCTGCATCTATGCAGAGTGAGGTGATCTGCCTGGATCTACTGAGGTGTTTAAAAAGCCAGGGTTGCTTTGATAGTGGCTTTCAGTTTGTCTGCATTGCCAGTCTAAACATAGAAGCAGCATTTCCATGAAAATTATCAGCAAGTATGAGGTGCCTTAAAATTTCTAATAGACAACTCCCCTGACTTTGCTGTTGATAAAACCCAATGAGCCCACAGTATGAGATGACATTTTAAACCCAGTTAGAACTGACTGTAGGAAATTGAGTAACTTTGATTCCTTGTTCTATTCAGCTAAATGCCGGCACCTCAAACATTGTCTCTAGTGCAGGAAAAATGTTTGCACATATATAGACTTTTTCCCTATTTTTTCCTTCCACTCTACGTTCCATTATTATGAGTGGATTCACTGGAAAACTCTGTGAACAGTCAAGTTTTTTTTTTAGATCCATGTTTTGTGACTGTCTGCTAGACATTTATCAGTAATCAGTACTTTTTCCTGTAAAATTGTGTAGATCATACGAAATCTTCAAACTTGAGTTATTGATGAATGAATTTTGGGGATTTCATAAACTTATAACCATATTTATGAAATTATTAAATGAATTCTGGCAATTTGAGTTTAATCTTTTAACAGATAAAACAAATCACCTTTTCAATATTCGATATTCAATTTTATAGTTTAATTCTCATATATATATCTATATATATATATATATATAGATATATATATGTATATATATATATATATATGAGTATCAGTATGTATATATGAGAATATATATTTACATACCCTTCCATTAAAAAAATGAAAGACTCTGCTGCCAGTAAAATAAATGGAAATTAACAATAGTTATGAAAAATAGAAATCATAAAAAGGACAGCATTGATTTTTATATTTTATGTTTTCTATAAACATATTACATTTACTAGACCTGCAACAAGTTCCTGGTGGAGCTTAGGCTACATGTGTTCCTAACAGGTGACCCATGAGTAAACAGAGAAGAGGACAGGATGGGGAAACAGGTGAAAGGAGGGAGAGAGGTGGTTTGGGTGGAGTAAAGGGGCTGTATTTAAGGCACCGTCGTCCAGAGCCTTCCTGTCTGCTGCCATCGCCTCCTCTATCCACACTTCACCGTCAAACCAGCGCTTCCTCTCCACACAGGTAGGATCCACACATAAGGAGGACTCTGATATCTGGGACATCTTACATGCTAGGACTAAAGTCCTATTTTAGAGATGCAACTGATGCATCTTATATATGTATTTGCTTCAATGCCAGCCAAAAACAAGGGCAGAAAAAGCTTCAATCAATCTTCCATAAAAGCCTTTTTTTCAGAAGCTGCCAAAAAAAAAAAAAAAAGCTTTTTTGTTGTGGCTCTGCTGTTGCATGCATTCCAGAAAGAAATGCACTGCAAGCAAATAACTGATACAGTTGGAAAATCTCTTACAGGTTAGAAATGATGCAGGTTAGAGAAGGACAAGACCCGTCTCTGCTGTTTGAAATAAAGTAAAAGGCAGATCACGTAGCCTCTTAGTGCTTCTCTTTCTGTTTTTGTTTGGCCGACAGTGTTTAATTTCACCTGTATCAGCTGGCCTGCATGTTTGGAGTCCAACCGTTAGAGCTCCATACACTGTAGCATCGCTGCAACTTAATAAAAGCTGTTTTATAGTCAGGAGGAGGGTCAGCTGTCAGGAGGGAAAATCTTTTCTTAATGAAACAGACCTAACATCCAGGTGGTTACCTTTAAAGTACATTTAGTTTACTACAGTTTCAGTTAAGTTTTTTCACTGATTCTTCACTTCTCCATGAGTTTGGCCTATTTATCTCTATGTAGGATTTGAAACTACAGATTGCATGCAGCAGGCAGACATGTTAGATAGAAATGATTTTTCTACTACTGAGGGAATACCATCTGCATGCATAGGTTTGAACCCAGACTGTCTTTGCTATATCCCCATCCAATTCACCTTTGTTTCCTTCCCAGAATGTCTTTGCCCAACTCAGAGAATGCCTCCACCCTGGAGAACGCTATGCAGCTGATGATCCAAACCTTTCACAAATACTCTGGAAATGAAGGAGACAAATACACACTGAGCAGGGCTGAACTCAAGGAGTTGCTCACCACAGAGCTCGGCACCTACCTGGGGGTAAGAAAGCACGTGGAGTGGCACACATATTATAACCAGGAAAAAAAAACAGCTTACACACAAATTTTGTTCCTTTTTTTTAAATGCAGAATGCCCAGGACAAAGAGGCTGTTGATAAGGTCATGAAAGACCTGGATTCAAACAATGATGGCGAAGTGGATTTCACTGAGTTTGTCATCTTAGTTGGAGCTCTGACCGTAGCCTGTAATGACTTCTTCCTGGAGTTCAACGATAAGCCAGAGAAGAAGTGAGCACCTACTCTGCTCATAGAAATACACTATTACAAATCCAAAATCTCAGTAAGGAAAAAGTAACAGATATCCTGTAATAAGACAAAAACATGCAAAATACATGACCTGTAATAGTCACATGTCTATTATTTCTGTCACTGTGTTATTACAACGTGATGACTATTTCTTTATCCTTTTTTTTCATGAAGTATTTTTTGATAAACCTTTATGCTAAAGAGTCTGTTCCCCTGGAAAAAATAAACATTAATTTAAACTAAGAATTGTTGACTGTGTTTTATTACAGCAAAGTGAAAACAAAAGTTGGACACCAGGGGGCAGCATATGGTATTATATAAAGTATTAGTCGGACAGTGACAGGGCTCAAACTGGCTTTTCCCAAGATTCCAGTTCTAGGTTTCTGTTGTTAAGCAAGGTTTAAAGTCCAGTTAATGGTTAACTTTGGTTTACTTATGGAATAATTTGATTAAAAAGGTTAAAGTTGAATAAGTAAGGGACAGTGGTTGGAAATAAAACAAGTTTTAACAAATAAAAGTGTCATATTTAACAGTCCAATTTTCAACTGTAGTCGCTTGTAGTTTCAGGATAAAACCCTAAAATATAAATAAATAAATGAATATATAAATAAATGAATATAAAATACATTATGCAGTGCCTAAGTGATCATACCTAGTTGCATTTTTTTTTTACATATTTGTGCAGCTAAACTCGTGTTCAAAACAGAGTAATACATTGGAATAAAAAAAAAGTCCTATTTAACAAATATTAATTTAAAGTCTAGTGATCATTAATGCAACCACGGGTCTTTTGGGGGTTAGTCTGTATCAGCTTTGCACATCCATTAAAATCTTTACCAGTTCTTTCATGAAAAATAGCTCCAACTCATCTATAAATAATGGGAAGCATCTATAGATATCCATAGCTCTATGTTCTAGAGTATTGTCTCTATGTTCTAGGCTCTAGGTTTTTCTGGGTAACACTATATTTCACTCCATCTGAGTTATAGTTGTAGCTTCAGGCAGTGATTTATAACAAAACCCTTTAAAAGCGCTAGTGTTATCCCTGACTAGTCCACTGTGGTTCTTGATAATCATGCAGCTGTTTATTTAAAAACAAACCTGTGAAGCCTTAATACGACTGCTGGATTTAAACTGAAATTAAGGATAAGGACTAATTCTGTTTAGTTGCTGTCATTGAATTTTAGTGTTATGACACAAAAAAATAATATACTACAAATGCATGTCCCTTGCGTTTATGTTAGTGAACGCAAGGATTATGTTAGTGGATTATGCAATAATTTGTCTTGGTCTTTCAATCAAATCCCAATAAAAGGTTTAGAAGTTTGAATAATTTTGAATGACGCTCTATCTGCAGACTGATAAAAACATCTAATAAACATTTCAAGTCCGTAAACAAGTTAGTGATAAAGAAAAATTAAAGCTGCTCAATCTAATTTTAAGACAATAAATACATGAAATTCTCCCAAAATAGTGCCATGATCTAATATTTGACTTTTTTTTTTTTTACTAATTCTATAAAATTTCTTAAAATTACTCTGAATGACCAAGTCCTAGTTCTTTCACTTGTTAAATACACACAATTCTAAAAAAAACAATCTTGAATTTCCTTTAGACCTCTTGGAGGTGTTGCTTTTTCCCAGATTGGGGCATAACATTAGCGTTCACAACCAGTGATTTATGAATGCAATATGTATAAAAAACAATAACCCAGTGTTGGACTCCTGTAGGATCCCTGAGGGACAGTTAAAGTGGATTAATTTAAGAGAATGTGATCAAAAAAATTCCTAAATAGTAATCAAAGTTGTTGGAATGCAGTGTAACATTAGTTTATAATATTATTCATAATATTCAGCTCCTTGATCATTTCCATGATTCAGAGCAGATATTAAGATGAAAGATGCTTCTTGGATGATTTTTACCTTCATTGATATAGCTCTTTATTGGTGTAAACTGGAACACCAACATTTGTGCACACATCTGGTTTATTATTGAAATAAAATGTAAACAAAACAAAAAATTGAGCCTTTTTGGATGGGTAAGTAGGTAGGAATTTTTGCGTTAAAAAAAAGACCTTATCAAAATAATGTGCTTCAATTTTTATAGATTGTTTGATCTTAAAAGATCTGTTTTACTTTGACAAAGATCAAGCTAAGATTGAGCTTTTTCTTTCTGTACATGATGGCTCAAAGGATGCTTAGTTTCCACATTAGACAGCCAGTAAATGCCTCTCCCTTCTCCATGGTGTAAAATTGATGAAAAGAAACTGAGATGAATTGATCAGTGACACATTAAAGTGGAGGAATAAAGCAAGAGCAACACAAACATTTTTAATCTGATCCTAAAACCTTTATTTGACTGGTTAAGGTGAACAGATTTCAGAGTCAGGAAAGGGGGAAGGTGAAGGAACAGTGGAGCATAATCATCAGAGGAAGTGAATCGATAAAAAGGAAGGAGGGTGTAAAGGTCAAAGGGAGCAAACAGAGAGTGGGCACTTTCTCTGTGCAGAGCCATGCAGCCAACAGTATTCACGGGTCTCTAAAAGGCTTTTCACACTTGTTTGAGCTCTGCTGGGAATCCCCACGGATGATCCCATCCTCGAGACACAGAGAGGAAGACATCTCCCAGCGAGTGAAGCAGCCGACTTGGCCACATGACTGTAAAAAGATAAAGAACCTCCCAGATGATGATGGTGACAGGGATGGAAACGCATTTTTCTTTATGAGTTTATAGCACTCTTCCTTTATAGTGAAACATTTTGAGTCTTTCCTCTTTTCCTGCCCCACTTTTTTCAATCTTTAAACACTTTATCATGTACCTCTTCTACAGTTGATGCTCTTTACCTATTAAAATGTTAATTGCACAGGTGATTATAAATATTCTTTTCTATCTTTAGCGGGTGGTAAGAAACCAGGGAAGATTCTGAAAACAGAACTAATCAGCCGAACTGTAAATAAAATAATGCATTAATGATGTGATCAATATTAGTGTTCAGCTGAGGGGTAGACATAGGTTGGCAGGGACTAACTGATCATAGGGTGGGAAAACACACAATCTTTATGCTGTAACCTTCAGAAGTAATAGAGCAGAAGGGTTTGCACATTTATACACTAATGTTTCAGGCATAGAGGATTAGAGAGATACACCAAACTGAATTTTGTGGCAACTCTGAGATTTTTTTTTAGAGTTGCTACTGATTCCTATTTTAGGGCTTTGCTGTTAAAGAATAGAGGAATGGCACTGAATAGATTTATTTCTTTTTTATTTTCTTCCTGAGATGGCGCTATGGCACAGACATTTCTATTCAGGTGACCTGGCTTTACCATAGGACGTGTATGATGAAGGAGAACCTTAAGTAGATAAATAGGAATGAATGGATGCCAATCTAGTAATCTAATCCAGTAATAAGTGGATTACTGTTTCAAAGTACTTTTTGGACTTTGTATCATTCAGAATCGGACAGAATCATTTCTATACCAGACAGATAAAAAATAACTAGGTTTTACCAACAATATTTGATCATTTTGGAAACAGTTATTCAAGAATTGACATGTTAAAAAGGTGTCTCATAAATAGAATTGCATTGCAAAAACAGTAAAGTCTACATGTTTTCCCCATAATCTAGACTAGTGTTTCCCAACCTTTTATGTCTTCCCATTAGAACCCTTCTCAGTCAAAAGTATAGATGATTGTCGAAAAGTTGAAACAAAACTATTTTACTTAATCTTTTAATTTGAGCATTCAATTCTGAGGCTTTTTATTCTTTCCATTTGAAATAAAAAAAAAAAAACAGCGTAAAGATGCTGCCTGGAAGTTAGTAGGAAAGGGAATAAATACAAAATAAAAGCATATTATAAACCTGTGTTTTATAAAGCTGGAGCTCCTCTGAGTAACTCCCTTTTAATCAGATTTAAACTTGAGGAATTGGGAAGGAAATACAGAAAAATTACAGTCAGACTGACTTTATTAGTTTTACTCTGTTTTCATCCAGACACCTCAGCTGCTTTGATGAGCTCAGACAGCTCAGTGTGAGCTATCTGAGCTACTTTCAGGCTGTAAAATCTTATATTTTTGGTTAATAAAAGCTTGTTCAATTTTTCAATCTGGCCCTTAGAAAAATGAATAAAATATTTTCATGTGCCCCTTGCAATGCACTCGCGGATCACTAGGGGCACATTTACACACGTACAGGTTGGGAATCACTGGTCTAGATCCTGACTTTTTCATTTAAAAGGATTTAAACATGACCCAATTTAGCAGGTTTTCAAACAGATTGAAATCTTAAAAGAATAAAGCAACATGTAATCCTTCCAGTCATCTACTGCAAAGTCCTTCTTGCTCAGCCTGAACAAACCTTTACCAGATGACATGAACGACCCTGTTTCCTCTAAAGATATTCTAGCTTTTCTGTGCTTTCTCTGCCTTTTAATTTGAAACACCACACTGAAGTAGTAAATAAGTACATTTGGAGTTTCTCTCTGGGGCTGGAAGCTGGAGATTGACTGAATGAGGTCACAAGCTTTTTTTGTAGGTGCATCTCTAACGAGGAGAACAGACAGCAAATAGGTATATTTCAAACACCCTGGTGGTTAGAAGGGTAACTCAAAGCAAACAGCTGTGAAACCATGTTAATACACACAATAATCCAGAAGTCTCTGTTGATTTGCTTTACCCTCCAACCATCCCTACAACCAATGCCTCCTCTTAGCTCGGTACTCCAACTGGTTAAATAGAAATCACATTCCTGTGTCCAGCACTTATTCTGTTCTATTGCACCATTTTGGCTCAGATTCCTGCATTTTTCAGGACTCATCTGCAACTGCGCCCTCTGCTACAGCAAGTTGAAACACTTTAAGCAAGAAAAAAAAAAAATGGGTCCATGCATGATTTCTTAATATTATTCCTTCCTAGCTTTCTTTAAGCATTAGCATCCTCTTTATATGTCCCTTTAATATGCAGCTGTCACACGTACGGTTAGTGTGCAGGACACTGGCTGCCCCATACAGTTTAAAATCACATTCCTTTTACATCTTTACAATCGCACAACACTCTGTCACTTCTCCATCAGCAACAAACCTGTGTATGAACTGATGTTTAGAAATACTAATATTTACTTAATGCTATATGCTTGTGGCAAGCTGCTACGCTATGATAACACGGACTAAATCAGTTCACTGACAGTGGATTTTTTTTAAAACAACAGAAGAAGCTTAATATGAACTTTTCTTCCCCCTCTGATGTCTAATATCATTCAACACCACCATGGACTCATTCCTGCTGTGGAGATGCTGTTACGCAGTCAGAGTGATTTGGCAGGGTGTAAAAAGGAGAAAATCCAAGAGTCCTCACTCTTAGAGACTCTTTGACAGGCTGAGGAGGGGGGAATGGGAGGATCTTAACACCAGAGAGGGGAGGTCAGTCTGTTTTGATTTTCCAGCAACAATAAAAAATGCAGGAAAAAGAGTTTCACTGTAATTTCTTCAATGCTCATAGAAGAAAATAGGTTTGCTTGTTGCAAAAATGTTGTCATAAAGTTAATGGACGAGACAGCTGTTCAGTACCAGTGCGATTCCAGTTCCATAGACATTATTACATTAAAATCCCCATCCCAAGGTACATTATCTCACACACACACGCACATACGCACACACACATTCTCACACCACCAAAACACCTTGGGCCTTTGTCCTGCTGTGCTGATTGGTCAGGGAGCTGAGCTGTCCGTTACGTGTTTGCCGTTTGGGGAACAATCAGCCTGGTGTGTTGATGGTTTTCACTGTGTAATTCTGGAAGAGGGGCTGCATGAACATGCCCAACGTGCCGAACACGCAAACAAACACAAAAATCCAGAGAAAGAGCCGGTCGATCACCATGGCAACGTACTTCCAGTCTTCGCTTACCTACGGATCAGGTGGGAAGGGGAAGGGAGCATAATAAGGGTGTGAGAAATGGGGAAACCAGAGAGATACATGTCAGAATTGGACACCGAGACTATAACGATGTGACTTATTTAGAAACACCATTTGATATAATTTTCAGTCATTGTAAATTCATCATGAAAAATCTAATTATTAACTAAATTATCTAATCAATCGTGTTTTAAGTAAATCTAAATTTATGCTATGGACAGGTTTTAAAAGGATAGCTAAAACCAGAAAGTAGTAGAGGATAAAGGAATTAGGGAGAAGGAAAGAATAAAACTTTTTTTCAACTTTTTTCGTCCTTGTTAATTTTTCGTCTAATAAAACTATCCAGATAAATATCAATAAATTACAAAAGACCTTAGATGAATATTCAACATAACCAATAAAGGAATAGTACAAGTATGAGAATGAATGAATGAATGAATGAATGAATAGGAATTTATTTCAGATAATTTGACAAACAACAATAAATGAATCAACCAAATACACACAAAAGAGACTAGTTAACATCAACCAAACCAATTTCCAAACGAACTAAATTCACCTGAACATAAACAGAAAAAAAACCCTCCACCAAATAAACCTGTCGGTATATACTGCCAGAAAAATGACATTGATTAATGTACATCGAAAGAAAGAAAGAAAGAAAGAAAGAAAGAAAGAAAGAAAGAAAGAAAGAAAGAAAGAAAGAAAGAAAGAAAGAAAGAAAGAAAGAAAGAAAGAAAGAAAGAAAGAAAGAAAGAAAGAAAGAAAGAACGGTGATAGTATGAAGAGAAGAAAGAGAAAGAATGGAAAGAAAAATAAACAACGGAGAGATATTAGACAATGAACAAAAATAAGGAAAAAGGAAAATGGAGGATTTAAGGGAAGGGGGACAGAACATTTAGACAGACATATTTGGAAACATGAATATTTCTCTTTTTTTTCTGTTTGTATATGTCCTACTCTGAATACTACACCCAGACAAAGAAAGACCTAGTTCAAATGAGGTGGGTGTTAAGAGGTTAAACAGACTTTATGAGTAGGAACATTAGAAAGAGACAAGTTAACATCAGATTCTTCTGAAATTCTTTTTTTATATTACCGCCTCCTACAAACACCTAACCTATTGCAATTTGATCTATTACATAAGCATCCTATATTAAGCTCTGTGTGACCTTTACAGTCAACAGAGATGTGACTTTGTCCTTTTTTTAAATTTTCCCTGCTTCTAGTTTGCCTCTTTTCATTGAAATCCTGCTCTGGATGTTTTGTGTTTTTAAGCACGGGATCATAATATGGCATCCAGCTCAACAGCCTTCGGCAAAAGCCCAGAAAATACCTTTGACCTTTTTATAATGTAAATTTAGCATTGTAATTGCAAAGGTATTCATTACCTTTAGACCTTTTTGCATACCATCACATAACAGCTCTTTATTATAACATCATCTTAGTGCATAACTGTGAGTTGCAGGAGACATGATTAAGGATTCAAATGTTTTTGCATATAAAAATCTTAAGTTTTGTAATCCACTTTGACTAGGCAAGTCAATTTTGGTTTGTTTCAATCACCTTCAGTCATCTAGAGAACACAATGTTCTCCCACTGTTATCAAGCTCAGTTGGATTGGATGGAGAGTCCCTGTAAACAGCAGGGTTCAAGTCTGTCCACAGGTTCTTATTTTAAATTAGGTCTGGACAAGGCCACACTAACATGAAAGCAATCTAAACCACTCCACTGTAGCTCTAGCTGATTGTTTAGAGTTTGAACCTCTATCAGTTCCAATTCTCTTAGCATATTTCTAAATATAGTCTTTCCAGCTTGGACCCCTGCTAGAAATGCATTCTTTTAGCATTATGCTGCCACCACTGTGTGGTATTGGAGAGTTCAGGGAGATGGTTACAACTTCTCGAGCTTATGTATCATCCTCTTCCACATGGTGTCATCTACCTTATATGATTTATGGGAAACTGTAAATTGGAGTTGATATAGCTTTCCTTTAACAATTGATTGACCAAAGTGGCTTCTGGCTCCTTTCATCTCCTTGGCTCAGCTTCCAATTCATCTGAGCAAAAAATCTTAAAGGGGTTTTAACTAGATGACTGCTAAAGGGTGAAAGTAGACTTAAAATTGATGTAGTTTAAAACAGTGGTTGAGCTGAATGGATACATTTAGCGCCCACTAACTTGTGAGCAGTGGAAAGGAGAGTGACCTTGACTTGGCCACTGCGCCGCTGGATTCCTCAGTAGTGATTGTTTTATGGCGTTAAGCCTCTATTATGTAATTTATCCCATCGGTTGGGAGTTTACTTTAAACAAGCAATGACATTCAATGTAACCGTCTCCTGCATGAAGATGGTAAGACAGCTCACTGGATGCCCAGCTGGTCTCTTACCCTGCAATCATGCTTTTAAAGGACACATATGTTGTTTGTTTCTTTATTCTAAAATCTCTCTATGTATGAGGAATTTTCCTCCACCTCTCTTAATTTAGACCCAGAATCCCCCCTCAGCTTCTGCGGATGCAACACTGGCACCAGCTCTGAGAGCTTAAGTCCTGCACAACACAGAAATGTGCCCCTCCTTTTTTTCTAAATTTATTTTTTTTTTTATTCAGGCAACACCAAAAAGTGTTTACCTTGAGCTCTTTGCTCTCCGTTGTAGGAGATGCTGTCATTTTTTTGCTCATAGACTTAGCAAATGTATTCATATCAATTCATAAAGTCTGTATTTTACTGCTGTAAGAAAATAAATACATGGTTAACATGACATTGTCTATTACTCCGTTTTGCTCAGACAATGTTGGGAGGAATCAGAAGAGCAACCCGAGCAGTGGCGGCCGGCCCATAGGGGGCGCTGGGGCACCGCCCTCCCTGATAAGAAGAGAGAAACGTAAAATATATTTTTAGAAATTAACTCATAAATGTCAGTTTTACTCTCTAGACTGTGTAACTATAAGCAAAACAAATTATATAAACTACATTTCCCTATCTACTGTCATTAATTTGTGGATTTCCACAGACAGACTCCTACCGTCTCTGTTCTGGGGGCGCTGATCAGACTGACCCACATTTGCAGAGAATCTGTCAATCATGTACTATTGCTAGGTGAATTTAATGGCCAATCAGCGTCTCGGAACTTTATGGTATTGGGGCGCTGAAAATACTGCGCTTTTACAGGCTCTGAACCCAAGCGCAGGTGCAGACAATTAGAGGGAAGATGGCGAATGTAACGAGCGAGATGCAGCTTCCACCAAATTCGGTGAGATCCTTATTTATCTACCCGTTTGCCAGAAGAACATCCCTGTTGTATGATATGAACATTTCATTTCATGGTTATTGTGACTGTGACGAATCCACCTCGTCGCTTAAAACAACCTCTCTAACTTTGCGCGCCACACACACATTCCTGTTATACTGTGTTTGTGAGGACCAATACACTCGCGCTGAGATCAGTAGCTCTATTAACTTAAAACACACAAGCTGTTCCTGGTTACCTGCTGGCGTATTGAGGGTGCACACTTAATATTTCAGTGGGGTTAGCCATGTGTGTGTGTGTGTGTGTGTGTGTGTGTGTGTGTGTGTGTGTGGGTATGTGGGTGTGTACGTGTTTATGCGGGGACTTGTCATCTTCAGTCTGGCTGCGTCTTTGCTGGGTTCAAACCCAGTTTGGTGTAATTGAATAAGTCAATGAAAAAAGAATTGTGTAAAAGAATTGTGTAAAAGAATTAAGTTGTAAAAATTATTTGTTTTTGTACATCAATTGTTTGTGGAGGTAATATATGGACAAAACTGATTAATGAGAAGAAATCAGAAATAAGAGAGCCTGAGGTGAGGGGCTTAAACTATTTAATGAGGGCTGTGGGAAGAAAAGCGGCAATTTTTGTTTTCTGTTTCTTTGTTACATTGCTGGTAACTGGAGGGAGGCTGAGGCCCAGAGTATCTTGTATATGTTTAGTTTCTTTTGCACCCTGTTTTGAGTTTTTGAGCTCAATAAATCACCAACACCGGTAACCCGACTGAGACTGGATTCTTGGAGGCCAAAGAACCCCGTCACAGTGACCCAAATCATCACTGTTACTGTTATTATATAGTAAATTAAATCATTACTGTTAAATTGTATGTATTGTCCAATTGTTTATTTGAATTCTTATTCCGGGTTAGTTGGAGACATACACTAGGCTATATCAGCCCCACCAAAAATATTTTTCACCAGCCGCCACTGAACCCGAGCATATTTCATAGGGATTTATACACATTCAGACTCATCAAGAAAATCAACCCTACATAAGTTTGTTTCTTATTGGACACCAGTGCCATATTAGCACCTGTGGGTCCTGATACTTTGCTGTGTTACATTTCAATTCATTGAAGCACCTGCTTCATGGTTCCTAATTATGTTGACCAAATCATACCAAACTGGGAAGGTGGCAGCAATAATTTGATATCTGCATGTATGCAGTAAATACTCCAGTACTATCTACTCTGTGGATCTATGAAGCTTGTCTAGAGTTATTAGCCTGTTGGTATCCAGAGCCATGTAAATCTTTGCATTCTGAAATTTATCTCAAAACATAATAAGCTGGGTTTTTAACTTTAGATGTATAGACCCAGACCTTGGAGCTGTGTTTTTATAATAATTTTTTAATTAACTTTCTTTATTAGAAGTATCATAGACCACGACATATGAGTGCAACATAACAGGCTGAACTTCCCTTCAAACCTGTGTTTTAAACAGATCTTATGGATGTTTAATGCGAAATCAAAGTATAATACCTCCAAGGGAATGACAGGAATGCTAAAAGGCTTTTTAAAAACTAATTCATGTCAGTTAGCCGAAAATCTTTCTTTTTTAAAGCGGGAGTCCTATTTTTTCTTTTGTTTTATAAATATGGAAGGACTTAGGCAATTAGCAATTGAAAAAATATCTTTTTTTTTTTCTCTGCAATTGCTAGACATAAATAGAAACAGTGAACCAAATAACCCAACTGCTCCTCTGAGGCGTGTTTTTGCTTTGTTATATGTCATTTCCAAAATTTCTAAAATAGAGATTTTGATTTAAATAATAGAGTAAGTAGAATCAGGCTTCTGTTGTCTTCTGTCTATCCATTCTCTTTGCTATAGTAAGGCAGAGGGTTAATGGAGGTGAATGGTTAATGTGAGTGGAGACTCTTTCTGGCACAAAGCTCTAATGAGGTCTAACAGGAGTCAAGGAGGAGGAGAGGAAGGTAAGAGACCGGGGAGATGGAGGACACAGAGAGTGCACCGACATTTGAACCCTGTGATGATAACTTGAGGACTGGAATAGAGAAGGGAGACACAGGGGTGGATGGAACTGAAAAACTGCACTAAAACTGAGAGGATTTTAAGTTCTTCTTCTTGGCTGCTGGGAGTAAATCATGTCTGTGACGAAACAAACCGCTCATGTTATTTTTGGTGTTTCCAGGTGAGAGGCAGTCAAAAAAACATAAAGCCTTGCTCCTTCATCTCAGCGCCTCAGCCTATTTGCACTTCTTTATGCACACGTCAGGCTGCTGCTATTATTACATACCGCACTGGATAGTCTCTGGGCTGAGGCTGCATCATCAGATCTGTCTGCTGCTGCTGCTGTTTCTATTTCACCAACCCGCGCATTTCAGAAGACACAGTCAAACGCGGAGCGTTGCAGCCACAAAACAACCATATGCAGCTTATCTGAGCTACTCAACAGACAATAATGGCAGGTAATGTATTTGGATAGAAGAGGGTGACTCATCCAAACACAGACATAAGGTGTTAAATCAAAGTAACACAAAGGCAAGCTGACAGCCTTCACCAAAACTGTCATCACAGGCCATGTGTTGGCAGTTAGCTGGAGTACACTTCCATGGCACTAACAGCATGTTTATCAGAAAATCAGCTTACTTAGGAGAGAAGGAAATCAGTAAAGTTATTATGCTTTTGAAGCTAAATATAAAAGCCTGATCAGCTTCAGCAGACATTCGTTTCACTTAGATTTTTTAAAAACATGAATGAAAAGAGAAATTTAGCTTTGGTAGCTTCTTTCACAAATAACCTTAACATATAATAGTAGCATTGATAAGAAAAGAGAAGGTAGAAAATTCTTTAAAATGTAAATATTTTTGAGTGTAAATGTTGCTTATAGAACATCATGTCACAAGCAAAGCTTTCATCTATTAAAATGAATAAAGTAGAGAAAACATCCGTCTAAAGGTCACACACAAATTGTGTGTAGCATTAGTATGTATTAAAATCAGGTCAATCTGTTAAATTAATAACTTTATCACTTCCAAGTCTTTTAAAATCAGTCTATATAAAAGGTAAAATGCAAAACTCTGATAAAAGAGGAATTGTCTAAACAAACATATTTTTTTTTCTAGAGGGAAATCTGAGGAAAATAAGTGCTCTATGTTTTCATGCAATGCACTTCCAACATACAGCTATGGGTGGGGGCCTTTTTTTATGGGGGTTAAAAGCTTTGATATTCTAAAAACCACAAGCAGTTGTAAAAATGGTGCTCACCATGCACAAGTAATACTTACGCTCTGATCATCATCTTCGCTCTTCATATGGTTGGCGATGAAGCGAACTCCTTCCACTGCCTCATCAAATCCTGAACAGGCTTGAGCCAGCAAGGCCTGAGTCAAAGCAGGACCTCCGGCTGCCTGCTTCCCCCTTGGCAGGTTTCCAGACCCACCCTCCCGGCCATCTCTCACTCTGTTTAGACCGTCCATTGATCCCCCTCCAGCGCCCACCAGTTCACCTCCAAACTGTTTAACAGACGCCCGGTTCACATAGCACGTGCAAGGGTCCCCGTCGTCCTTCCCAAAAACAGATGAGGTGGTTCCCCCTCCATTGCCACCTCCGCCACCAAGTCCCAGACCCACCATCAGGGGCCCCGGCTCCCCGCTGCGCCCGCCTTCCTTTTGCTCCTGTGCTCTCCTCCTCTGGCGTAACCGCTGGCGCTCACTGCTGTTCCTTGGCTGTCGCATGAAGAGCAGGGCAGGGAGCTTGTTGAGGAACACCAGTTTGACCCAGGGAGGCATGGTGTGCGTGGTAGGAGAGCGGTGATGGACGTTGAGCACACAGACACTGGTGACTATGGAAAAAGTGACTAGAACCATGGTGAACATCAGGTATTTCCCCACCAGAGGGACGTCTAGGGAGGTTGGTGGTACAATCTTTGAAATCAGCAGCAGGAACACAGTGAGAGCCAGCAGCACCGAGATACAAAGCGTCATTTTCTCTCCGCAGTCTGACGGCAGGTAGAACACCAGGATGGCCAGGGAAGTGATGAGCACACAGGGTATGATGAGGTTGATGGTATAAAACAGCGGCTTCCTGCGGATGATGAAGTCATATGTGATGTCCACGTAGGTGGGGTCAGCTGGGTTCTCATTTCGTCGGCCTGGCAGAGCAATTATATCCCATTCTCCGCTAGGCGTGAAGTCGTCCATGCTGGCCACGTCAGCACGAAGCACGAGATCTATTTCTGTACGGTCATAGGTCCAGGAGCGAAATCTCAGCGTGCAGTTCTGCTGGTCAAAAGGGAAGTGCTTTACTTCAATCTTACAGGCTGATTTATAGATGGCGGGAGGCAACCAGAAGATGCTGCCATCATAGGACACCACTGCGTTAGAGTAGAAGGACACCTCGTAGACCCCATCCGCACTGAGACAGAGGAAGAGGGAGAGGATATTGTTACAAGTTAAAGGAATAGGGCAACTAGTCAATCTATAGTAAGGGTTTTAGCCTGGCTCGTATGGGGCTGTTCAACACTAGGCTATTGTCTTTTCTTTTATAGAATGAGCAAAGTTATATGCTTTGTCAGTTGTAGAAGTTAATGCTGACAAAACATTCCCCATTATAATTCCAAAGCCCTTTTTCCATACCAGACTAAAGCAATTTTAAACTTAAACAGGAATTCCAGAGTTTTCTAATGATACTGCCACATGTGACCAAAACATAGAACTGCAGCTGCTTGTTCTCGTAGCTCGCGCTAGTACTTAACTAGTTTTTTTTTTTTTGTACTTTTATCAGCTGGTCGTTTCTGAGTATCAACCAAATCCATCTTGAATATAACGCTTAGATTGCTTACTAGGTTGGACCCATTTAACATGATAACGCTTGATATCTCATCTGCAGAGCAGCAAGGGAACTTCCTACCTGATGTACATTCAGGAAAAAAAGAGGCTACATGCTTATACCGTAGATACGTCAGTGCTGAACTACTGTCAGTCTGCTTATCAAACTATGTTTTAGACCTTAAGGGTCAAATTAAAAGGATATAGTAAGATATTTGATTGTTTGACTGTTGAGATAAAGTTTAACAAATAAGGTTAAGGTGGGTTCCAAAAGCTATCCAAACCAACTCCTGATAGTAGAATTGTTTAATTACGATTTCAGGTCATTTATAAAGTACATTAAAAACAATGGTTGAACCAAAGTGCTGATTTGGGAAAGTATTTTATCAGCTCAGTTTCATTCACAGCAGTCAGGTCTGTAGAATCAATTCATCCCTTTAAAAAAAACTGTCAAAAAGAAGTACATTAAAAGATCTGAAGGATCAGCAGATTGTGCCTTGATTTAAAGAAATCTTATAACAGACATGAACAAAAGTCACTGACGTCTACTAGTCTGGGCAGGAATACGAGCGATTATGAAGCCTTTTAGAATAACCAGAGTTAAACCATTAACATCAAATAGAGATGGAAAAGTGGTTAAGGTTCTCATCCAAATGGTCAAAAACAAACCAATAACATGACCTAAGTTTATCATTGTTTACCAATTAATTTGGTTGGATTCTCTATTTCAGTATTATCCTTAGATATAATTTAGTTTGTTTTGTTTTTTGTAAGTTATTTTTTCTTGCTAAGCTCTTGTTCACTCTCCAGTTCAGTTGTCAAATTTGTGGTTTTTTAACTCATTGCCTTGAAAGTTAAACCATGAATACAGATTATAAATAATATTAATACACCACCCAATGCTTACTCATAAATACCCCATTTCATCCCGTTATAAAAGAACCTTTTCTTCATTTTTGATGGCACAGACTGGCCACGTTCTTCCTAAACAGCAGTGCAATATATCTATGATTTTATATCTAAATATTAATTACAGTACAGGAATGAGTGTTGATTTGAAATTGGATTTTTTTTTCCCAGTGCGAATAGGTCACACACACATTTGCCTATAAACATGGGGAAAGGGGAACCGCGCTGTGTAAACACATGACCTAAACAGGAAACAAAGTTCATTGATAAGTGGATTCTGCTCCAAAAAAGTCACTAACAAAAATATTTACTTAAACATATACCGGATCTTGACCCAATGAAATCCTTCTTTCAAAATAAAATAATGTGTCCAATACAAAACAAAATCATCCCGTTGTTCAAGAAAGCAACAGGGTTTGAGATTTGGGGATTATCGCACAGGCCTGTAGGTACACAGGATTATCAGGATCACTTTATCCAGAGCGAGGTGGGTCGGTGATCTTTTAATCATCTGTAAAGTAATGACAGAAGCAAGGAAAGAAGAGAAGGTCACACAGATCACTGTTCTCTGATGAGCTGATTTGAAAACCATAGGCTGACACCAATTTTCCACTACACTGAGACGAGCTACCTGTTACATCCTAAATTTCTTTAGACGTAAAAGAAAACTCTCAGATTATACATGTGAGTGATTATAAATGACGTCTGAAGAGGATTGCCTCATCTGCTGCTGTGTAGCTCTGCTGTACTGATCTACAATATGAATCATTACCAATATATATTGGAGAGAAACCAGGAAAAAAGTTTGGATTTTCCTTCCTTTATATTAGAAAATATGATATTAACTCATGAGATGTCAGAATTTACTCTCTTACTGTCTTTGTGCACTGCACTACATTCTGTAACGTGGCTTTATGAAACCCTTTATAGCACATTGCAAGTTTATGATCAACATTAGACAATTTAGAGCCATAGTGAAAAGTTGAAGAAAATAAAATCTGCTGCCATTGGTGCTATTGTGCTCAGAGTGATTCCGTGCACTGTTAGATTTCCAACAAAAACGTAGCTTTTTCAAGTTGTCTAACTTTTACACTATCGTCTATAAAAAAAATTTGTCCCTTCGCAACAAAAACACATTTAATGAAGGTATAAAAAAACAACCTTTTTGCTTATTTTAGGCTTAAAAAAATCTAATAACCTTTCTTGATAGTTTATTTTAGCTCATCTTGAGCTTTATTTACCAGTTAGGGGCTTTGATAGTGGTTTGACTGAAATTCCAGAATAACGTTAAGATGTATTATTTAAAGAGTATTAAACAACAAAATTTGGTAATATTTAGGAATATTTGGCATATTTATGGTAGGGTCAGTGTTTTTGTTAAACTGCAAACAGATGTTTTCAAGGCCCTCACACAACAATAGCTTTCTTCTATCCTCCTTTTAATCCCATCTAGATTTGTGGCAAGAACAATTAATAGTTGCCCTGCTAACAGTTCCTCTCCACTGTGCTGTGGATGGCTGCTGCTCCTCAAGGGTAACCAAAGGTCTCTTTGCTGTTTGTCTTATTGATGCTCTCCTTGCATTCACCTTGGCCTCTTTTGGTGTCCTCCTACTGGTTATTCGCTTTGAAATCTCTAAGGCCTTCACCCAACAGCTGTATGTACTGTATGCTGAGTTTAATATACACATAGCTTAACTCTGCTAATCAGGTGGTCTTTGAAGGCGCCTGGGTTCACTGGATTTCATTTAGTGGTTGCAGAGAAAAATGTCTTTCCTTAAATTTGCAGTTACAACATGAAAATATGTGAGAAGTTTGAAGGAGTGTGAATACTTTTACATGATTTTTTTTTTGTGTTTGCTCCTTTACAGGACCTCTGTGTGCAGCGAAGATGATTAATCCTCTCAGACATCTCTGGCTGTACAGTACTATGGTAGCATGAGCAACAAGAAGAGATTCTAGTTGACGTACTCAGTCATGTGTTGTGAACCTAAAAGTATCACCCACTCAAAATGACTGCTTAATTGAAGCAATGAGTTTAAGTGTCTTACATCGATAGCAGCTGGATGACCTGACCAGACAACCAGCTTTTATTTCCTATATGAAAATGAACATGTCTTCACTGGGCATTTTCCAGGCCATTCATGTGTCAGTTCGTGTCCTCTAAGCGAGTTCAAGAGCATGAGAGAGTGACTCACTTGTTGTAGAGGACCACGTCTGGCAGCCAGATGTGTTTAGAGGGCAGCCTGACCTTCATCATTCCATCAAACTCCTCTGGGACCCAAGTCAGCCGATAGTCCTGCCACTCCTGAGGGCCAATAGAAACATCATGCTTAGTCACTCATCTGCCAATCACACAGCAGCAAGGGGAAACAGGGAACAAACATTTTTTACTCATCTAGCCAGTGGTTAGGATGTGTATAAACCATGGTTTATGTGTAGCTTCTCAATCTTTATCTTCATCCTAAAGTATATTAGATTGCATACGTTTAAAGAGACATGAGCTATAATACGTTATGCAGAAGACCGTTTTCTCTTCGCAGTTATTGATGTTTTCATGCGCCCAAGCTATATTGTCTGCAGCAGCCGTGAAACACTATAATCATTAACTTGTTTGGGCTGCCCTTGGCTTTCTGATGCTGAGAAATGTATCAGCAGTCATAGTCATTCTGCGCTTGGCTACAAGTCATAAATCTGTGCTTACTCGCCTTACAAGTGTTTATGAGTCTCTCACTATGAGAGAGAGCACAAACTGGAAACAGCGGGTGTTTTATAAAATTGATTTAACAAATGCTTTCAACATCAAAGAATACAGATAGGTCACACTAAGCCTTTTGTCTGAATTATCGCTACCAGGAACATCTTCATTTTTTTGCAACTGTTAAAGGTATAGAGGATGATCTTTTATTTCCAGGTGGATCATCTAAATAAGTGGTCCTCCTAATTGTCAATCATTCTGGTGATATGTTTACATAAGGCCGTCCAAAGCGCTCGTCCTGTTAGCTATCTTTTTCTGCACGGCTGCTCAGGCATACTATATGTGTGGTGATCTACGGTTTCAGTCAGTCATTATGAGAAGAAAACAAAGGCCTCAGAAGAGGTTCATATATTCCAGAGTACAACAGCGGCTACTAACAATAAAGATGGTGCAAGCACCTCACGGTGGAGAAGGAGTTATGCGACCAACTGGGAGCAAAAAGTAGTGATCATCTGTCTGAACAGTCAGTTACCTGAGTTCACTATAAAGTCCACTATATAGTCACCGCTTTATATAGTGATGGAGGGATTTAGGGTTAAGGACTGACGTTTGGACACATTAAGCTTGTATGAGCTATCAGAACAGCAACTTTTAAAGAGATCGTTCACAATGAGAAATCGGCTCGTGCGTGCTCTCGCACATGTTTAATTGGTGTTCCCACTTGGGAGCGGGCACAAGGTTGTGCATGTGCATTTTTTTTAAGCGGAAAAGGCAGGTCTTTAAAAAAATTAATTGCGAAAATCCCCCACAATACCTTTAAGAATCCCAAACAGCAAATGTTGTTTTCCTGCTAATGGATGGAAATGTGTAACAGCTTCGTTTAGACCAGCTGACCAGCAGTGTGCAGCAACAAATAGGTTTCACACTGCTGGATAAAACTCTAGCCCATCCAGTGATTGTTTTTTCTTCTCAAAGAAAATGTATTAAATTATTATTCTGTGAAAAAAGGCCATGATTAAACCACTCTGAGTAAAACACCATACCACCACTACTTTTATCTGGAGTCCTCATACCTTCTGCCTCTATTTTGATCTCCACCAAATCATGTTCTTTCCACACTGCCTAAGATCAACTCTCCCACTTGGGGAGAGTTGATCCAAACTTCCTGTTTGGAGTGAACAGAGAAGCTGACTGCCACTCTGATTTCCTGCGGTGCTTGAACGGGCTGTGGTGCAGATGAAACCTTTGCTTGGTGTGAAGCTCAAACGACCTCTTGATTTGTTTACAACAAGACCCACCCGGAGGTCATGTAAAAGGAACTCATTTCAGCCTGCGATAATACATTTAGCACACCCTGACACATTTGATCAAAAGTGTTATTATACTGATAACCACAACAGACTTTCAAATGATGATCATGAGGCAAAAGTCATATGTCTACAAACAAGTAGATGGAGATGTACAACAAAAAGCAACTTGTAGGCACAGAGTTGAACAATATTAGAATATTAGAGTATTTTGACCAACATTCCTGGAACAAAAACCACTTTCAGTCCACATAATATCAGCCTGATTGTCTGAAATCAATCAATGTATACAAAAACATCAATAACATTAAAACAGACTGCTGCATTTTTGTCTTGTGCTCTCTCTTTTAGGAAATCCAGACAGTCACAATGCTTTGCATCCAAGTCAAGTTTGTTTTACCCTCAGCAAAGCCAACGGCACCAAAATCCTTGCAATGTGTACTGTACTTCTTAGCGAAGAGCAGATCTGCTTTTACATCCCATATCATGTAGATATGTGTTCCAGTTCTATGACCTAAATAAACTATCTACCATTCTTTTCTAAAAGTACAGTAGAGTGAAAAAGTATTTTTTGCTCCTTCTGTTTTCTGTTTCTTTACACTCAAATGTCCCACTTACTGACTATTCCAAAGCCAGTTTAGAGTTACAACTTTTTTTAAACATTTAATCCTTAGCTTCTCTCATCCAAATTTTTAGATCAGTTTTCAATTCCTATGTGCTTTAGTGTTAAATACTGACCAGGTCATCAAAGTGGGGGATTTTAAGATTCATGCCGACATTGAAGGTTATAGCTTAAATGCATCCTTTAATGCTATCTTAGACTCAATTGGCTTTATTCACAATGTGATTAGTCTCACACATTCTCATCTTCATACTTTGAACCTTGTGCTGATATATGGCATTGAGCTCAAAGGAAGAACAGTATTTCCTCACAACCCTATCCACTCTGACCACTTTTTAATAACCTTCAATATTACTTTACTGGAGTTCTACTCCTCAAAAAGAAGGTTTCAATTTAGTAGATCATTAACAGCTTATGCAGTTATGAATTTTATAGAATCTGTTCTAATCTGGCCCCACTGCATTTGCTAAATGAGTAAGATGACCAGGTGGTACCAAATCCTATCATGTATAAATATTACTCTGTGCTGTAAAAAAAAAAAAAAAAGTTAAACCATTGTTTAACAACATTGACCAATAATCACCAGCATCATTCTTCACATGTTCTGTTCTGACCTGATTTTGACTTTAAATGGGTTAAGCTTTTTCTTTCTTACAAATGTTTTTTCAAAAACATCCCTGCCTTTGTGTGGTTAGTGAGGTGCCTGGATGTTATGAAGTGTGTGAGATCTCACCTGCGTGAGCCAGACATTTGTGGTCATCACTTGTTCTCTCTCATGCTGAAAAACAGACAAAAAAAATTATAAAAAAGGCATGCTTTCTTCCCTTTTTTCATTGGGTTGTCCAAGTAGTGTGCAAATTTAGTTTTCTTATTAGTTTTCCCTCCAATGAGCCAGACTTTCTTATAATCTTTTGAAGTGCTTTTGTTTAACATTTTAACTCTTTATGAAGTTTATTCCTTCAATATAAATGATAGAGAAATACAATGCTCTGCAAGCCGCATGAACGAGTAATTTACTTAGAAACACTGAAAAGGTTAATCAATAATTATTGCAGTTGTTTGTAACCAAATGTCTTTACAGAAAGGGAAAGGATGTATACCTCAGTTATAGAAGTAGCTGAGAACCACAGCTTCTTTCAGCTTAAGAAGTCTGCAAGATCACAAGTCAAATCTGGCTTGTATAAAAAAATGTATCAAGAAGAAAGTGAACCCCATACAATATGCCAGTAGCAGTTTGCCAAAAGCATTTTGAGGAACTCAGCAAACACTGGAAGAAAAATGTAATTGCTGGCCAGATATCACACTTCTTAGTCTGAACCACTAATCCCATTAATGTAAAAAAAAAAAAGAAAATGAGAAAAAAAAAAAAAACCCCAACTTAAAGCAGCACTGTGTTACTTTAAGCCACTAGGGGCACTAGACCTGCAACCTACACATTAGCTACGTTTACATGGACACAACTAATCGGATTGAAGGCCTGATCAGATCAAAAGCGTGACGTTTTTCCGCCTTGTCAACAACAGGAAACCACCGGTCGCTCTCGCTCTTGTTGTGAACAACATGGTGAGAGGAGTCTAGGAACGCCGACTTATACACTCAAGTTCATTTAAAGCTGCAGGAAGCAGGAATTTATCCTCCTCCTCTTCCTCTTTTCTCTCTCCACAGCCCACTCGCTCTCCCACGCCGGTTCAATCGCTCATTCTCTACATTTTCTCTCGGACATTTCGCTGCCAAGCGCTTTTTTCCTCCTCTCTCCGTTTTTCTTTCCGCTCGCTCCGAGCGCATCGTTTGTCAGGCCTCCCAAAAACCAGACGCAGACAGAACTGCCAAGTTTGGCAGGAAGTTCTGCGCATGCTTAAAAGATTTATTCTGATCCAACACTTGGTACATGTATACACACGTCATGATCGGATCATTTCATTTAGTGACCATGTAAACGAAGATTTTGAATTTCCGATCAACCAAGGTTTGGATCGGATCGGGGAAATTTTGCGCATGTAAACATAGCTAGTGTTGCTTTAAGAACCAACATGGAGGTTCATTTTTTAACGGGACAATAAATCCAGAGCTGCAGTAAAATGGTTTAGATTAGGGGTGTGACTAATGATTATTTTGCAAATCCATTAATTGTCTTTTTTTTTTTTTTTTTTCGATTATCGACCAATGATGGGATAGCCAAAATTCTTGAATGGTGATTTTTCATTAAATTAAACCAGGTGAAACTTTTCGACTTGTGGAGTTCTGGATTATTTTTTTAATCTTAAAAGTAACAAATTTTTTAAATTAATATTTATGAAAATATATATATTTTTTACAATCTTGGTATGATTACTGCTCAAAGCTTTTTTCCTGTGAGGTAAAGGAATGTTTTATAGTCTCTATACTACAGTTAACAATGAATTGATTATGAAATGAGTTAATAATCAATTAATCATTATTAATCTGATAAATTTTTTCAGCTCTAGTTTATATCAATGCAGTGTCATCTGTTGGAACACCTTAAGGCTAAATACAAAAGCGCACCACACTGTTCAGATTTTAAAATGTTCTAAATCATCATTAGCCCTGTTTGTTTGTTTGACTGTGTTAGTCTGTCATAAAATGAAGATAATTTTATTTGTAGTTGTAGATTGATAAAACGTAAGCATTGATACTCACCACACTGATAAGTTGGGCCAGTGACACCATAAGCTGCACGGTAACCAGCTCAGAACCATTAGTGGCAGGTCGGATCAGCTTGTTGTAATGCGCTGGATTTAGGAGATGCTCCACCAGCCGCTCCTCTGTGTCTGCCCCGAGGCCGACTGCAAAGAGAGGGAAGCCATCATTATCCTCATGAAAGAAAGTAGCACCCATCTGTGTGTCTCCCAGCGTTTTCTTTTTCCACGATATTTCTCATGCTGGAATATGTTACAATCACATGGAGCAGAAAATCAGCTGTGCTGCTGAGTTTCTCTGTTTGGCCTGTGCTCTCGCTGCCAGCATTCAGAGCTTCATGGCTGCACATGTGCGCTGAGAAAGGAAAGATTTTAGCATGGTGATGCGGATCGCTGCCAGTTCGAGCGTGTCGCCACAGCCTGGTGAAAAGGCTTCTTACAAGATCTGACATCATAAGAATGACTCAACCAGTCCAACTGTCTCTATCTTTCGTCCTTCCTGACTATACCCCTCTCTTAGTGCCTGGAATCTGTCTCCTTCCATTCCTTTATGGTGTTCAGCTTCTTCCCCTCTGCCAACTTCGTTTTAGCTTTAGGATTTTTGTGTCACTCAATCCCTCCCTTCTGTCTGCCATCCCTCCATCTGCAGCTGTGAGCGGTAACAATTAAACAGAGCTGCCAGACGGGCCCAAAAATTTGGTTTTTTTTCTTCTTCAATTCAATTCAATTCAGTTTATTTATATAGCGCCAAATTCACAACACATGTCATCTCAAGGCACTTTACAGTTCAACCAGATCAAATTGATACAAAGTTTTCTATCTGAGGAAAACCAGTTGATTGCATTGACTCATTGACTCAAATACAATCCCCCACACTAAGCATGCTTGTAGCGACAGTGGAGAGGAAAAACTCCCTTTTAACAGGAAGAAACCTCCAGCAGAACCAGGCTCAGTGTGAGCGGCCATCTGCCGAGGCCGACTGGGGTTCAAGGAGACAGAAGCAGAGATACAAAAAGCAGCTGTAAAAGGCGGCCCCGTCCAGGAAACACACAGCCAGGCAGACGAGCTCCAAGGCAGCTCCCATGCCAGAGGACGAAGAAAGCACATCCACTCAGTCACGGTCAGAGAAACAGGACCACACTGGAAAACAGGCCGATCTCCAACATCTATAAACAAGGGTGTTGTTTCTTCCGGACAACACACAATGCTTAGGAAGAACAACATTTTTTTCCTCCTTTTCTGATTCTGTCCCCTTTTCACTCCCTGCTCTTTGGCATCTGCTTGCGGCACATTTCCTCACACGTTCACACAGCAGATAAACACAGGCTGCTTGCTGTGAACTCTGAATTCTCACACATGCTCTTTTCCAGAATAGGAGGAGTGTAGTCTGTTCATGGTAAAACGCTTGCTTGATGATTTTGGATTTACATTATTTCTTAGTTGTCTCATATTTAAGCCCCATTATTGTAGAACTTACTTTGTCTCCCTATGCTTTGATTTCCTTAGAATCTACTGGTGTTATAAGGGATGTTTTAACAAGTTTTTGCAATATTGAATAATTAAGAAGACGTTTGTTTTATAAGGTGCTCCCACACAAGTAAATTAATTTGAGTTTAGATTATTTCATTATAACAGCAAATATCTGAAGTGAAACTTTTCAAATGTGCTTAATTTAAGTTAGTATGAGGGGTCCACTCTTAAATCATCTCTACTACTGCTAAGTCCCACATTTCATTGAAGTTTGATGCATTGCCAATTGATTATCCTTCAAGAAACGAATGTCATGCTTATAAGAAAATAACATTTGCATAAACAGCATTCTACATGCAAAGTAATATCTTTTTTTTTTTTTTTCACAAAGTTTGACCGCTGGGGAACACAGGTGAAATACTGACTATTTCTCTGTATTCTGCACAAATTAAACTCAAATTAAGGAATGAATGGGGTTATTTAGAGAGCACAGATGAGTGTAGTGGGTGTGTGCTGTGCAAAGATAAGATTAAGACATTTGAATGGACCTAAAAAAATTATAAAACAAATTTAAACAAAATAAACACCTTTTAGGTGAATTGATAAAAGACACAAAGAAATAAGGCAAACAGGCATTAAAAAGAAGCAAAGTAGACAGAGAAAACCACACAACAAAGCAGGTGAGCAGTAATATACAGTAGCACATAAACCTTGACATGAAACTAAAGCTGAACCCAAATGTAAACCTTCAGATTATCACATTTTGTCCATCTTCTCTTTCACCCTTTACTTCCACTTCCCTTCCTTCCCTCCCTTCTATGCCCTGAAGCGTTCCTGTGTGCACTGAGCAGGAATGATGGCCTCTGTCTGTTGATCAATGACGACTCTCTTCCCTCCCTGCTAACATGCATCTCCTCCCACTCTCTTTTCTCTCTCAGCCATTTTTTTACTCTTTATCTTTCCATCACTGGAATCAGCCCACATCTTGATCTCTCTCTCAGCTGAACGTCTCCCTCCCCGCCTCTCCTTCATGTTATCTCCATCTCACTGTCAGTGACAGCTGCTATCCGTTTATTAGCTCTTCCCTCAGTGATCCTGTGTCATCAATACACCTCCTGTCAGCAGCTGTGTGTAGCACTCTGGTTGCTTATTGTACATGAACATTGGCTAGCCTGTTTCTTTTATACGCGCCTGTTTGTCTGCAGATGATCAGGAGGGAAATAAGCATGGATGTCTGTGTCTGAACAATATGAGTTATGCATATTACTCCCAGATACACAAGGCAATAACTTAAAAGAATAAGAGACAGGAAGAAAATGTGCTTTCACTTAAACAAAGAGGGAAGTAGAATGGTTCATGTGTCAGCAAGCTGATATTAGCTAAAGGTTGGGTTGTTTTCAAATTATGTGGATCAGTCACAGCTTTATTTCTAGGTAAAGCAACACAGAGATAAAACAGGACAAGGGATGCTAAATATAAAGAAAGATTGTACTAAACTATTTATTTCTGACTGTGTGCTAACAGCAAAAATGCCTATATTTATGCCAGTTTCAATCAGACCCACCAACCGAGTCAATTGTTAAGGGTCCATGGTGGAAGCATGGGCCAAGAAACAACTCCTTCATCAGTCAACTTATCTTTCAAAATATGTAGTGGAAATTAAAGCCCGCTGTCCAATAAAAGAAAACAAAAAAGCCCCCCAGCTTTATTACTTCTGGCTATAAAACGGACATTCACAGATCCAGGTTTAAAATGTAGATGATTAGAGGTGAAACACCAAAGTCAGCAAGATGATTTTTATTCCACACGCAGATGAACAAGTCAAAAAAGGATACAGAACAAAATCTAGATGTATATGATTTCAGTTTTAAGATACAGGAATCACATTCCTCCTCATTTTGCCCTACACAATACCATGACAAGGTATTTATAGTACCTAGCCTGGCCAGCCAGTCTGATACAATGTGACGCGCTCTGTTTTTGTAATTTTGTAGTTATTGAAACATGACAAGCTATAAAAGAAACACTCCAATGAACGATTTCTGCCGGTGTTGCCTAAAGTATCTGTGTGTGCTATCAAGTAGGCTCTTAAATTCATTGCAGCATTTCTGCTAACTTGTTATGCGTATCTGAAACAAAACTATAATACTAAACTATGACACTGATGTTAAAATCTAATTGAAATGCAACATATACAGTAAATAATATATTATTTTTTATCCAGAGAGCATACATCTAATTCCTCCAAAATTACAGCAATCAGAGGCACTGACACGTTACGAGGAGAAAAAGTATTTCAATCTGTGTGCAAAACAGGTGAATATTGTAATGCAACAGAGGCTAGATCAAAAATGATTTATATTATATATTCATCCCGCTCTGTAATGCAGGGAGAAATCATTGTAAACTTTGCGCATGCCTACACAACAGCATGAGGTCAATAAAGTCGCAAAAAATCAACAAAAAAGTTACAACATTTGTCTGTACTCTTTAAAAAGAGAAAATTAAAAAAAAATTGTTAGAGGGGCCTGAAAAGTCCCCAAATTTAGCAACAAAGTCCAACAAAGTTGGCCACACTGGACCATCGTCTTTAGTTTTCCTTTACTAGTCAGAGCAACGCAGCACACTGTAGCCACCAGTACACTTCATACACCAGCCAGTTTCATCGCAAGACAGGAGTGGTGTTGGTCCGCCCAAGGGAAACCATTTTTAAAATATAGCTATGATTACAATACATGAGAAAATCTATAGTATGCTATAATCATATGCTTTACATCGCTTTAAAATACAAATTTTAAATGTATTCTGAAAGTGTGGCAGGTTTCATTTTCAAGAGATGTGCAATAATCAGAGCAAATAGTACTCTAGTAATCTGGAAATGAACACACTGCCATTTACCTGTTGAGAACATGGTATACTGAGCGTTTATGTTTGTGCAATTGAGTTAAAAAGCTGAGATTATTCCTCATATTAGGCAAACATTCTCTGCATGTTGAAATAATCACTGACAACTGTAGCACAAAAAAGTGGCATTTTCCCTTTTAACCCGTTTATTAAACGAATGGGTAACGGCGCCTTCTTTCACTTTATAACAAAAGTCAAACATCTGTTTTTCTATATCAAGAGGTTTGGAAATGAGAAAGGAGACTGGATTTGTTACTCCAGCTAAATGCATGCTTCACACGCAGCGGCTTTAATTTCTGTAGGGGACTCTAGGATAACTGGTTAGGCAGCCAACTGAACATCTGTGTCCATGTGTGCACCTAACTGAAAAGTATGTTCTGTCTGAGCTGCCGCAGGACAAATGGTGTCAGGAATTACAACACTGTTTTCAATAAAGTTGTCAAGTGCCTAGGCTTTGTGATAACTGATAGCCTTATAATATGAACTAGTATTGGCCCGAAATATCAGCCAGCCAGTGTATCTAGGCCTCTAGAGGCAGGTCTGGTAGCTTGTAGATTCCATGCAGCCTAATCACCAATAGGCAGACCACCCCCTCTGTTTCTGCTTCATGTGCAGTATGCAGAAATGCATACAGAAATGTAGAAAGGACACGAAGAAATCAATTGCATTGAAGAATAAGAGACGTTAGAAAATACAAAGAAAATACGTTAGAAAAATTCTGTGGAGTTAAATATTAAAGCACACACGGAAACAAAAACATCTGAAAAAATAAG